ACCAACCTAGGTCATTCCCTCACAGTACAAAAATAACTGCATTCTGCTCATGTCACTAAATAGCACCTGAATAAGAGGAACAACAAGCTCACTCTCAGCACCCAATTAACATATAACAAATACACTTCTCGCCTTATATTCTGGCAAGGTAGACGAGGTGCCAACACCACAGAGTAGCACCAAACTGTACTGTACAGTACTGGCTTGTTGTACTCCCTAATAATAATAATAATAAATGAGTGTTATAAACTGTTTCAAAGTTAAGCAATTGGTTTATTAACACTATACTTCTATATAATTGATGTGGTTCATAGTTAAATGAGTTAGTGAGCAAACGATGAGCCTAATTCAAACAAATTTTAAATTTCATGTCAAAATGAACATAAATTACTATCATACAACAATAAAATTAATACATAGCATATCATAAAATATAATAGCACATATTCTAATGTACAAAAAATAGCTCCTTCCACACCCAAACCTTCCTCTGTAGGGGTGCAGCACAGTTCAGCCAGACAGTCACCCAACTGATTCAGAGAGGTGTGTGTGTGTTCACATCGCTGGGAGGGAGCGTGGCTGGGTGACGAGTCGGTGCCAGCTACAACCCACTGCCTCCACACATATGTTTGCTCCACACACATACACACCCATGCCTTTCATTTTTTTTATTCTCTAGTTTTATATTACTTATACAGTGGTCCCTCAGTTAACGAACGGTTCGATCAACTAAATTTTGGTTAACGAATTAGCTCCCATAAGGATTTTCAGTTCGATTGACAAACAAAACTTCGATTAACGAAATTCTTACGACAAACACATTTTGTTGTGCGTATCCGCTGATCGGCTAGTCCGCCAATACAGTAATCGGTTCTATGTTTACATTTGTTTCCAGTGGACTAAATATCAAGAAGGTTGTGCTCTTGAATATTTTTGCATTTTTTATGTTAAAATTATTAGTCATTTTAAAATTTATTTAACATATTGATAATATATGCAGTACATGAAACTAGTTTTTTGTGCGCCCATCAGCCTCTTGACTCACCTGCCAAAGCGTCTCTGTTTAACTTTGTTTACAGTGGAGGAAACATCGTGTTTGTTGGTCATTCTGAAATTTGGTTAACAGTGTTGATTTATTATGGAAGGTGACTCGCCTTCCAAGAAGCATTAAAATGCTTCTCTTCTCCCTTCTCCTCCTCCACCCCCCACTTCTAATTCCCATCATCATCATCAACCAGCAACATTCTACATACACACCTCAAATTAAGTGTACTACTGTACTGCATTTTGTTTATACTTTGTATGTACTTTTCGGTGAGTTGGGACCAATTACCCAATATCCCATTGAAATAATAGATTTAGTTAACGAAATTTTCGGTTAACGAACGACACTGGAACGAATTGTGTTCGTTAACCGAGCAACCACTGTATACTACAGTATTTTCTTTATTTCTCAGTCACATTAGAGTATTGTGATGATTTTTCTACAACTTTTATAGTTTCATTACATGTAACAATGACTATATGACATCTTTCAGGCCACATCATCCCCAGTTTTTTTCCCCTTCCCAGTGAGTCAAGCTATCGCTAAACCAAATTTTGACCTAACGTTAGGTGAAACCATTGGAGTATATAGACAGATGTAACATTTTAAAATTAATACGAAAATTCTTGGTCCCACTCTCATGTTAAATTTTGGATTGACTGTACTAATTAGATTCACTGACTCATTCGGTGATTGTGCCTATTCTAAATAACACTTTCTTAAAAGGAAGAGGGTAGAGATGGTGACAACATGTTGCATGGGACTGGATTCATAATAGCATTTATAACTGATTTTGTGTTCAAGTCAGTACAAAAGACTTTCCCCTCGAACAATATCTTCTGAAGTAATATGTATGGTGACAGGAAGTTCTTTCCTGTAAGTTCTCAGCCATTACATTGATGTATGACCTCCATCACTTGATGAATGACTCAGAGGCCATAAAACAAAGAATTAAACTCCGAAATTCAGTTTTTATGGACAGAGAAAGAGTCAAGAAACTTGAAATCCCCCCCCCCCTCCCTCCTCCCTTAGTGGGTTTTTTATTAGTAACAAAAATGAATATGAACTTCAGGGACCCAGGGTTACAACATGGGGCTGAAGTCATGCAACGTGGCAAGGAAATGGGCTCGGTGATTCGACTTACCGGTACAGTACTTGCTTTTTGAAGTAACAGTGGACTGTGTTTTAAGTATTTCCCACACCAGACACCACTTTACCTGATAAGCATACCCAAAAATACACATAGCTTCCTGGTCAAGATGGACTCTGCTCAAGGATGTTCTAGGAGGTATCTCATAGATTACCTGGTCCATGTAGGACTTTTTTCCCCTGAATTATGGCCATCAGGACCGAAGGGCATTGTCATAACCTATACAGGTACTGTACCATTATATGAGTGTGCACTGTCTGTTCATCTGTTAATGGTTACTGGGTAACATGTCACCCAGAACATAGAAGAATGAAAGACAAAAGCCATGTGAAATTTGGTGAAAACATATGCCGTAGGACTAAAACTTTTGGTGCGCTCTGCCTTATGGTAGGGCTCTCATGATGTTTCACAAGTTATATTTAATCTTCGGACAAAACCGCAACACGACTTTTATCTTTGATTGTACATTACTGAAGGTGAAATATGGAAGGGGGTCCAAGTTCACCTAATTTAAATAGTTTATATAATTTTGATATCAGTACAGTAGTGCTGTAGTGATTTTTGGACTGCTGGTGAAAGTTCACTAGATTCTTCCCAAATGATGATAAATCATACAAAGAAATCCTAAGCAGGATATTTCCTGAATCCCCATGATCTCTAGATGTGCCTGTTATTGGAAAACTATAGTAGGTCTCAGGATTTATATAATTTACATACTGTATTTTGTTATTTCAGTCATCTTGTCTCTTTATTTTTCTTGTCCAGTTGAAGATAGATATCCCTAAAAAATCACATACAGTCAACCCTCGCTTTACGCGGTCCCACTTTACGCGTTTCCACGTTTACGCGGTACCCTGCCGAACACGGAATGCTCACTTTACGCGGTGTGTGTACCCTTTTACGCGGAGAGCGGCGCGAGCAGGGTGCACACAATGTCGCCCAGTCATCAAAACATTACCGAGTTCTTCACCCGCCACCCACCACAGCCGGCCCAAGTCAGTGATAGTGATAATGATAGTGAGGATATGGACTTGTATGGACTTTGAGGGGTTTGACAAAGAGGCCCTGCAAGCCTCTGTGGTGGATAGTGTTACAATTGATACAAGTGATACAGGTGAGGGCCAATAATCTGCCCTCTGCCTCGGAATCAACCCCCCATCCCCGTGTGCCCAACCATCTTTTCTAATAATGTAAGTGTTAAAAAACCTAATATTATTGATATTTCTCTTAATTATTAATTGTGTGTGCATACCATCATAAAATTAAGAAGTTATTTTTACTACAACGTAGGTATTGTGTCAGAAAAAGTGGAGTTTGGGGGTCAGCCCGGTCTCTATTTCAATTAATCCCATATGTTATGTTGTTCACTTTACGCGGGCCGCCGTTGGTTCAATTGACCGCGTAAAGTGAGGGTTCACTGTATATTTTCTATAATTCCCTAATTTGCACATTTTGTAAATATTAATATCTTTTGTAATGTGTCTAGCCAGTATGTCATGAACAAGAACATCAATAAACACCGAGGGCTGAGGTCACATGAGAGTTGAAGAGTCCAATGTATTTTTTATTGCCAATACCATAACTTTTGAACGATTTTACATTATCCATCTAATTTATCCCAGCTGACGATAAATAACATTCAAATTGTATTTATTTATTTTTTAATTTTTTCAATCCAAAGGTGTTCCTTTTAAAGATAAAATCCAAAGGGGTTTCCTATAATTTAAATAATTCCTTGCCTTTCATTGGGCAAGAGGTCATCTGTGGTTTGTACAGACCTTCTGTATATCCTAAAAAAAAAAATTACTTAGAGAATGTTAAAACAGAAACCTGCTTCCATACAGCATTTGCTTCCAAATTATTTGTGCAAGTTCTGCTCAATCATAAGAATGATAAGAGAAGAGCTGAGATTCTCTTTAGTCTTAATGGCTTGTGGTGTAGCTGTGATACTGAGTAGTTTACTCAGTATATGCCCTTGTTTTAGATGGTCTAGAATTCCAGCAAGTGGTTTATAGAAACACAGAAACAGTTAAATTAGATTTGTTGTGAAGTGAGGAGTGTGACAAGCAAGTAATGAGATTGAAGTACTGTACAGTATAAATGATTGTGTAATTTTATGAATGGATGGTAGCATCTTCAGTGTTTTATGAAAGATTTGTGAGTGGATATAGCAACATCAATTCTGGTGTAAAAGGATTTTACATACTATTTTAGATATTAAAAAAGGATTACCAAGAGATGAAGGAGTAATATTAGGAGGGACATCAACTCAGTCAAGGAATAGTGGGGATATACAGTATGATGTGTAGAGTTGGGAAAGGTTGGATGACTGCATGATAATTTTGAAAAATCTGGATTCTTAGAGAGTGTTTTGCATGAACTCCTTTGCTTAAAGAAGGTTTTAAGTTTACAATGTTTAAATTTGTACTGCACATGTTACATCTGAAATTATATGCGGTGGATGATGCATCACATTCATTTCCTATTTCAAAGATCTAATTTCTAATCTTATCTGTAAATAAGTATTATCATCTGCATATGCAGTGTATGTTCCATCAACATTTCTATCTTTATCAAACAAAATTGGAATGCCCTGTATTGTAGTACAGTGCAAATATTTTACCATCAGTTGTATGTTAAATATATTATGTTTTTCTTATACAGTACAGTAGGTATCAGATTTATACAGTGTTTCAGTAATGCTGCACAGCAGTTGATTGTCCAGTACTTTACTAACAGAATAGTAATTGCCTAGTTCACCATATACAGTATTGTCACCTTCATAATGGTGGTGTTTATTTTCAGATGATGACAACAGTACAATCGTAACTGAGTATGACTCATTAGAGCCAGCCACAATCCTAGAGGAGAATGAGCTCTCCACCTTAATCATCCCTACCATCTCTGCATCTGTTGCCCAGGAAGGCGCAACTCTACAGGTTCCCCCACCAGGCATTCTGAGCCACTCTGGAAACCTGAATCATCATAGCAGTTATCAGCATTATCACCCCCTTCACCATCACTATCCGCGCCACCTACATTATACTCACCATCTTTCACACCGACCACCTTCATCTTCGTCGTCATACACACTACTGCCCGTCCTTGAGCCACCAGTATTGGTGACAGAGAGCATTGAGCTACATGCTACTGAAGGTTCAGAGCTCTTGCCACCAGAAATTGTCACAACCATCCCCATGGAGGAATCATTGTCATGATGGTGCAAGAAAGGACAAGAACACTTCTTGCTCAGGGCATTCTAAAATTTATTTTATTTTTTATCAATACAGTACAGTATTCTTATCCCTCTCTTTAACTATTTGTACTTTAACTCTCCTTCTTTATACCCATGTTACTAGTTAACACAAGAAAATAGAATAATAATCAATTTTAGACAAAGAATTCTAGTTATTAACTTTGGTACATGTGTTAACTGAGAACTTGAGCTTTAATTTATACTTGTAGGCTCTGATGAACACTATATCCTCAATTTCCCATGGTGGCTTATTATTAAATCATTCCTATGGCTCACTCAGAATTGAAGGGTTATCTTAAACAAGGTAAGTTTGGGTAGGGACAGAATGTTCTGTGTTGGGCTCTGGCTGTCAGTAAAAGTCTCAAACTTCTTACCCATTGCTGTCATAAAGTACTACTTTGTAGTAATTTTACACAAACAATATACTCGCTCTTGTTAAGAATAAATATATATATATATATATGTATATATATATATAATTTTATATATATATATATATATATATATATATATATATATATATATATATATATATATATATATATATATATATATATATATATATATATATATATATATATATATATATACATACATATATATACATATATATATATACACAGTATGTGATGAGATCAGCGATACAGAGCCTAATAGCAGATCCATTGTAGGTTCAATTTCTTATAAAAAATTAAGGTTAACTATAGTTCAATCTAGTCTGGTTTTAGTCTCCAATCCGCTGCATCTGTCACGCTTGGTGCTGGCATGAGTCCCTGAGAATAATGATAATATACCATTTAATATTTCTCTATAATACAAACACAACAAGTGAATCTGAACTTTCTTTATTACTTGATTAAAGATTTATTTCCCATTGCTACATCTACAGTAATTATTCCAAGAAAATTTTGTATTGTTGAAAGGGATTTGTCAAGTTTTCCTTGGTGATTTAAGATTACTACCTTGTGATTCAACTGTTATTGTAAATTAATAAATTATTTTGATACTTACTATTACCTGTACTTCATTTCAGTTAGATACTGTACTTCAAAAGTGTGTAAATGGAAAATAACAGTTATGAGTAATATTGAAGGCTCTGAATTACTAATGTACAGGTAGTAACAAATCTTACGTCCGTAAGTATTACCATTTCTTTCAGCACTCTTTCATATAAATCTTAACTCAACACTTACACACCAGTACAATATTCATAATGAACCCAATAATATATGAGTATTATATCAATAAGAATCCTCAAGTAATTCATCATTCTTCGACCATCAATCATTATGTAATCCACGTCACCTAGTGAAAACAGTTCAGGTTATCCAGCGAAAATCATCCAGGTTATGCAGTGAAAATTACCCAAGCTACCAAGTGAAAATGATCCAGGCTACCCAATGAAGAATGGCCCTGGTTACCCAGTGAGTGTTTGAGAGTACCCAGAGAAAATGATTCAGGTTACTTAGTGACCATTATCCAGGTTATTCAGTGAATATGTTCCAGGTTACCCAGAAAAAAATTACCCATGCTACCCAGTGAAAATGATTCAGCTACCCAATTAGTGAAAGTGATCTGAGTGAGAATACCTAAGAAAAATGATCCAGGTTACCCAGAGAAAATTGTCCTAGTTACTGTGAAAATGATACTGGTTACCAAGTGAGAGTGATTGAGAGTAGCTAGTGACATTATCTGTTACCCAGTGAAAATACACTTTGATACTATTTTTGTAATGTATATCTTAATGTGTTAGTTGTGAAAGTAATTTTGTTATATTCCAATACATTTATTGCATAAGTGTATCTCAGGACTACATGTGATGTGTGTGAATGCTTTTGCTGTGGTAAAAGTGAATTTTTATACAAAAGCATTTCAATTCATTATTGCATATAATCATGTCATATGACCTTATGAACCTATGTTCTTTACGATAATGAAATGTACTTTCTGCAGGTGGATTTGTTTTTGAAAGAAATTATAGACTTTAATCATCAGTCCCACTAGTTCTGTGTACAAGCAGAACAGTAGTTACAAACTTTTTCATTTATTATGACTTGCTATGTTGTTTTTTCTCTCTCTCTCTCTCTCTCTCTCTCTCTCTCTCTCTCTCCAAGTTGGGAGGTGGTTCCATTCTAGTGTGAATGGTGTGTATTCCAACTAAGGCTGTTCACTGTATTTACTGAAATTACTGTAAGGGGAGTTATAACAGAGATATGAAAGGAGAATAATTGAGATATTAATTCTGAATAATTAATTTATACCATGGCTCAGTTGGTAGTGTCCCTAACTCCCAACCCATGAGACAAGCTTAATTTCATAGCTAGGTAGGATTTGTGGGGGCAATAACACTAAGTGATGCGCACTGACCTAGCCACTAGTCACATTAGTACCCTTGGTTAAACTACCCCCTCTCCTGGGGTTGACCACCATATATTGTGAGATATGGCATAAAAGATTTAATTATTGTTTTTTGTTTATTAGAAAACAAAACTTGAAATAAAAAACCCCACTAAAATGCTATTACAGAAACTAAATTAGATATCAAAGCAATAAAATCATATTAGGTTGTAGGAGTTTCAGTGAATTTTACCAAAGGAAGGCAAACATGACCTATCTGGACTGAAGGAAGGTAAAGCCAGTACTTAAAGAAGAAAGATGAATGCATTGTGGAAAGCTGTAGATTGTGAGTGATTCCAGTATTAATCTTATATAGTTCATCCCATAACAACAACACAGTATTTATAGGTTGTTTAGATAATTATCAATGGTATTTGATTCCTGCTATCATGTATGTACAATCCTCCCAAAAAGTATTGTCAGCCATGGAGTCCACGCGATTCGAGGCTTTCTGAGCAATGTTAGTTGTTCCGTTTCTGAACTGATGGTAGTTCTGCATCCATGACCTTTGAGCATGAGTAAGTACACAGTTTATGTTTATGAACAAGACATACATTAATATAGCTTAATGGATTTCTTGTTAGGTTGAATTATCTAGTATGCCATACAAGGACAACTCCCTCCCCCATCTCTAGCTGTTGCTGATATGACGGGTAGCCATACTGACTTACGATGATGCATTGGGGATTACTTCAAAGCATTTTGGTTTGCATTTCAAATTGTAGCGACAGAAAATCTAACGATACTTTTTTGGGAGGGGACTGTACATGGAACCATTATATAATTTTATCAGTGAAATGAATGGTCAATGCAAAATTGGCTCTATGAAAAGATAATGATTTTATACAGTGCCTTTTCTTAAGATGTTAAATTTTTATGTAGTAACTCTTAAATCAATCAAAAAGCATACTGTATATTGGTCTACTAGCTATCTCTCTACAGTATACATACAGTAGATAATTATGCAGTATTAGTACTAAAAAATGTAAATCAAATTTTACATTCTAGAAAAATGTAGTATTAGTCTAATTTCAAATTAATTTCATCATACTTACACATGGAAGAATTTAATTATATACCCATATCTTTGAATGTGAGATATATTTTATACATCTTGAATGACTTTATAAAGTACAAAAGTATTACAACAGCTGAGAAGAAAAAGAATATTGAGCCAAAATAAACATTATTTGAACTGCCATTTTGGGTAAAATTATTGTTTAGGGACAAAGGAATTTTAATGAAGGCTTAAAGAGAATGCTGTTCATGAAAATTTGTGTAGATGACATGAGAGAATGTAATTTCTGAAAGAAAAATGCTGGATGGTGAAATTTTTATATCCCCCATAGTGTATGATGCTGTATATTTTAAATGATTTTACTATAAGGGCTGTTGAAAAATGCTGTAAAATATGAGGATATATACACTATTGTATTGTATGTTTACATGTACTGTACAGTATATTGCTTACAGTTAGGAGGCAGAATAGAAAATATGTGAAAATGACAGCTATTGGATTTATATTATTTATATTTCATCTTATTAGTGTATTTCAGGTAAATGCTAGATATGGATTTATGTTTAAGGAAAGTGTTGACAGGATTGTTATGTGTTCTCACTTGTTAGCTTTAAAACTCCCTGTACTGTAGATTCACCCGGTATATTGTTATTGTTTACATGAGATTCAAAATATAAGTGGAACAATGCTCAAATCTCAGTATTTACACTATTGAGAGGTAGAAATTATTAATTTATTATTCTTTTTTCTTTTAGTGGGTCTCTATGTGTAGAGAATTCAAAATTTGTGTGTTTTCATGAATGTTAGCGTTATGAAGGTAACACTCGGACATTGTGATACAGTATACGCATTACATTAAATGAGCAATTTATTGGAATACAGTATAGTATGACTCAGGCAAATAATTATAGCTTTCATCATGATTTCTATCATTTTAAGATACATGTTTACAGTATACCTACATAATTCAGCATTTTACTTATAATTTGGAAAACTTATACAGTACAGTAGTGCCAATTTACTTTCAGATGTAAATATTTTGCCCATTATTTTCTTATGGTGCTTACACTGTATACAGACTGTGTACAATATTAGTTAACTACAGTAGCACGGTATGTAAATCAGTCCCACTACATAATAAATTTAATCGGAGATCTTCATACAAAAGTTATAAGAGATGTTGGAATTGGTTATCATTGTACTATAATCCATGGCTAAATACTGTATGAAAGTAACAGTTTGATTTCGTGATAAACTGTAATGATTGATGGTCGGTAATATTTGAATGAGATTTTAATGAATTTCTTCATAAATAGACACTATTATTATTAAAAAAAATTTTACACAGCTACTTCGATACTTGATAATGAGGATTCTACAAATAGATAGACTATAGTACAGTACCTGCTTTATATACATAGAAAATAATGATATCTATGAAAAATAATTTATCATCATCACCTATCTGCACGCATTAGAGAGAATCATTAGAAAATTAAGTAAGTACAGTATTTTACAAATTTAGAATAATCTAGGGACAGAAATAAGTTATGATTCAACATTCAGAGAAAAGCAAGATGGCAGCTTTGTGCCCAGTTTTCTCATGACAAGTTACTCTTGAGTCTTAAATTTTCTTTGCAGCTCAATATCTCTACTTATGCTTAGTCTCACATTTGGCAAATGTAATAAAGTCTACCTTCTTTAAAATGTATCGGCTTGATTTTTTCATGTTAAGAAGTACAGTGCAGTGTGTACTGAAAACAGTAAGTTCATAAAGAAAATAGTACCTCGTGATGATATTCATATCACTTGTCTTACCTCTCTGCCTTATATAGTTCACATCTTGTGTGAATGCATTTTAGTTTATTAGACATATTGCACAAAGCTGTAAAGATTGTGAAATGGACCATTATTGACAGTAGTCCATGATTTTAATTAATCGGTTGTTCCTCCAAAAGCTTTATTCCCTGAAACTAACAGGTAATATATTATATTCATCACTATCCAGTACATACGTATCTGAAGTAACAAAAAAGAATAATATTCTCTTATTTACTTGAATTTTGTGTAATGATGACCTGTGCTGCTTTTATCCATACCTAGTTACAAATTGTAGAAAAGCATTTTGATACTTATAAATAACTGGGTACAGTACATGGAAAAAAGATGTGTATCCAAGACTCCGTACCCAAGATTAACATGGTTTTATACGTCACTGTTATATAGAATTTACAAAAATTCTTCCAATTTTCTATAAGAGATCTGACAAGCTTCTTTCCACCAATCTCTGGTATCTCATCCCCTACCTTTGTTTTTCTTCTGTTGTGTCTTACTGATTTCACATTAGTTTCTAAGACACCGATCCAAGCAGAGATTTGACCTGCTATATATATGTATTAGTTTTGCTAGGTTCTTACACATTAATACATAATAGCTCACCCTTATGTATATTTACAACTTATCCTAATAATTTAAATTCCTGTTGTGTGTTGCCTAAATAATCATCTGCGAGCTTTTTGGCTTTTATCTCTTATTTTAGTAGTCATTCTCTGTTCTTTAGCACATTTGTTTTATCACAGCATGGTCTTAAACATTCATTTCTATCAACATACTCTTCCGAACTCTAATGTTACAAACATTTCTGTATTCTCTTATATTGTACAGTAACATAACCTTGTTGGTCTTGTAATACTGTACCAAATTTCTTGTTTTCTAGTTGCTAAATCACATTATCATCCTCACTGTAATTTAATTGTGTATGCATTCTTTGATTTTAGAATTAGTCTTTTAGGAACATGATTACAAAATTTAATTCAGTTGTTGGTTTGATACCACCAGCCTTCACTTAACCCTTTGAGGACAGTGATGGCAACACATGGTCATTACCCAGACGGGGAAATGTTGGGAAAAAGTAAAAAACATTCGAGTCGTACCATCAACTCCTGATTTACACTATCCAATCTCATGTGGGAGCCTCATGGGTGGACACATGGGTTATGGAAGCTACACCACCAGCATATTCCTCTTTATTCAAATTCCCTTAAGATTCATTTGTCAAATCTTGAGGAAAGTCACCATCTTCACTTATATCGGTCACTACAGTAGACAAGGTCATCCTTGACTTCAGAATCAAGTAGAATGCTGTCAATTTCCTCCTGCATGGAATGCCACACACAAGTGGATATGGTATATCTGGTCTAGCCATTACTAATAGGTAAGAGGCTTACACTGCCTTGGGGCAGTTGCCATAAGTCACAACAAAGATGCTCTGGAAAAATGAAGAATGGAATATGTAAATTTGGCCAACCAAAAATATATTGCAAATTCACAATACAGCTATGTCTGGTATGGTGCTACCCTGCATGCCGCATGTGTTGTCGGATATGTCTGCAAAGGGTAAAATCTTATTTTAGCCTTGTTATCAAACCCTTGTTTCTGCTCGTCATCATCTCATTTTAAAATATAAACGAGTTGCAGGATTTCCCATGACAATAGGTTAAAGTTCTTTATTTATATTTCTTTATTGACATGTTTCCATAAGTTAATCTTGTGTATGCTGAGTTGGCAGAGCTAAGGAAGGTAGACATTTTATTATTATAATTCATGTGAGCAGCCCTTCTCCTGCTTCTATTGTTATTCATAAGATCTTGTTTTATTAAAAGTATTAATTAGATAGATATGTATATCAAATTAAGTACATTCACCACATCTTGTATTATAAGCGAATGTTGTTAAACATCATCTGAAATTTTTGGAATTTTATAAAGACATATTTAGGATTAAAAACATATGTCATATATTGTTGCCATTAACACAAGTCAAAAAATATTATTTCCAATGGAGAGCTATTTGCCTTAAAGGGATTGTATGTTTTTGTCATCAAATCTTTGCACAATCATATATTACTACAACATGTACTTTTCATGAAGCATACAACTATATTGAGCAAATTCAAAATTGGTGTTGCAAATATGTTTTGGCCTTTACCAACCTATATTGTCTTGGGTGCAATACCTTACTAACCTAGGGGGTTTGTCTCAGGTTGGACTGACTCAAGAGAAGAACATTTAGTTTGCTCTATCACATATATATATATATATATATATATATATATATATATATATATATATATATATATATACACATACATACATACACAGTTGGTCCTCATATTACGCGGTCCCGCATTCCGCGTTTCACCGTTAACGCGGTGCCTTGCCAGAACCTAACATTTTCACATTCCGCGGTCGTGAACCCCATTACGCGGAGAGCGGCTGGCAAGCCGCGCCATTTTTGGATCCAAACCTCCCGCCATCTGCCATGTTGTGTAAGAGGCGCGAAAATGGTGCGCACAAGGTCGCCCAGTCATCAAAACATGACCAGTTCTTCACCCGCCACCCACTACAGCCGGCCCAAGTCAGTGATAGTGATAATTATAGTGAGGATATGGACTTATATGAACTTTGAGGGGTTTGACAAAGAGGCCCTGCAAGCCTCTGTGGTGGATAGTGATACAATTGATACAAGTGATACAGGTGAGGGCCAATAATCTGCCCTCTGCCTCGGAACCAACCGCCCATCCCCGTGTGCCCAGCCATCTTTTCTACTAATGTAAGTGTTAAAAAACCTAATATTATTGATATTTATCTTAATTATTAATTGTGTGTGCATGCCATCATAAAGTTAAGATAATATTTTTACTACAACATAGTTGTGTGTCGTCAAAAAGTGGAGTTTGGGGATCGGCCCGGACTCCATTTCAATTAATCCCATATGTTATGTTATTCACTTTACGCGTTTCTCACTTTCCGTGGTACCCTCCGGGTTACATTAACCGCGTAATATGAGGACCAACTGTATGTATGTATGTATGTATGTATATATATATATATATATATATATATAATTTTTTTTTTTTTTTCTCTCTCTCGAGTGTGTGTGTGCCTTTGGATTGTCTCATCTTTTCTCTATTGTCTTATATAACAGGATGTATTATTATAGCGAAGCTATCATAAAGAATTCATCATCAAATTTCCCCATCTAACTCTTCCTGTGTGAAGATCATTTGTCAAGAAAATTATTGAGATATCCCGTCACTCTTGCAGTCCACGTGGTATAAGCAGGTAATTTTTCAATTTACACATGTTTTGCATTTATTAACTTTACATATCAAGAGTAAGTTCATATACATTGCATTGTCATAAATATGTGACGGTTTAAAGATTTTGATGACTGAAACACTACTTAAAATAAATGATTTGGTTCTCTTAGCCCATCTGGTACAAGTATGTATGCTCTCACCAAAAGAAAATCTTGGATCTTTGTACCCTGTGCAAAAAAAAAAAATTTTTCTAAAGTAATTAATGAAACTGAAGTGTTTTAGCTGCTTTGAATCATGTTAGAGAATAATTGTTATTTTAGTTCCTTAGTTATTGTTACCCCGTTACATTGTTATTCATATTTAGTATTACATTCATTCATTGAATGTTCATTATCAACTTTATATGCAGTACACTGCTTCCATAATTTGCTCATGGTATAGGATGGCAAAATATTTATTTAAGAGATGTAATCAAGTAAAATAACAGGAACCTGGTCCAGTACAGTACATTCTCAAGCAAAATCAGCTATTGTTATACAGATATCTATACTGTAGTTGGATAATAGTTTTGTATTTTTTTTCTCCACAGTATGAACAAACAATTTTATCAAAAAAAAAAAAAAAAAACTAATCTCGTGTCAACATTGCATTTCATGTATTGTTAAATATATTTTTAAGGGCAAACACTGTATCTTGGCTTATGATCTCATAGTGAGCCACTAGGCAGTATTTAACCCACACCCCACCCCAATGGTCCAAGATTGTCTACTGCACATTTTGTTAGACTTATGGATATAGCTTTAGTCATATAAATTTCTTGTTTACTTTCTACCACATCCTAAACATGAAGGCATCTGTAACATAGACCATTATCACACATAGAATGTTCAGTTATGGAATTGAGAGAGATATACGAGTTGGTTAGCATGTTGTGTACTATATGAATATATTACAATATTCATTGTTTGGTTATTGTGAATACTATATTTGCCAAATAAAGATTTTGCAATCACTGAATTTTTCCTTATATGTTTAGTGCCCCTCTGATTGGCACTGATATCCATTCTGATCTTAGATGTTTTTGTATACCATATAATAAAAATTTTAATCCATACAGACGACAAAAGGAGAAATGTACAGAACAGGATACCCGTTTTCCTCCTTTAATATCCAAGTCCTGTAGCTAATGTAAAGTCGCCAACAAAATTCTCTCGACACGTCTGGTAGCAACTACTATACTCATACACATGATAAACCTATGTTTAAAAAATACTGTCAAAAGTCCAAATTAATGCTTACATAGAGGAGCAGAAAGATGAGAGTAATGGAAAACAGGGAAATACTAATGATTGTTCACCAACTTTTCTTCTACATATATTTTTTCTTCATAACTAACTTCAGAGCCAGTGTTATTGCTTTTCTTTCCTTATTAACACTTCCTATCAACTCTAGCCCTTTTTCCAGACACATTATCTTTTAATTAAAGGGTGATGTAAAAGGATAAGTGGTCACAACAATACTGTGCTATTCTTGACTAGAATAAACAGTGTGAACACAGCTGCACTTCAGGTTTTTGCAAAGTCATATAAATATTACACTTGCACAATGATGAGTAATGAACCAACTTAAAAACAATCTAACTCACCTTAAAACCTGAACACAAAAGATCAGACACGTACCATGTTTTACAGCATATTAGACGCATGGCCATATAAGGAGAGAGTATTTAGGAAAAAACATTTGTGTGTATTTTCCTCATGTATCTATAGTTTTCTTAAAACAATATGCAGTATACTCTATTGCCAAACCAGTAAATAAAAGTTTAACACAGTCACTATTTGCATATACTGTACATCTGTACTCCCTGTTTACTATAGCATCAGCGGCGCTACCTCCGCCGATTCCCTAGCAACTTCTCATAGAGGACGCAGGCTGATTTTTTTTTGCCATTTTTCAGATAAAAACTTGCGTCTAATATGCTGTAAATTATGGTAATAGTCTGTGTTGCACAAGCTGAGGCCAACACCCCAGCTGGAGTGTAACAGTTTGAGCCATCCACCATAAAATGATGTAACAGTGAGGCCTCACAGTTAGTAAGCAAATTTCTTGGTTATTTCTTCAAGAACTGACATTAATTTTTCTTCATCTTTGGTGCTCACTTTGGTTGATGCCAATGGCAAGTGAGTGTCTACAGGACGTCGATCTGAAATGTTAATAAGTTATTAAATTTCAGTATTTCCATCAAATTTTATCTCAAAAAGTTTATTTCCAGAACAGACAGTTCTCCGATAATTTGGTAGTTGCATTCCTATAGAACATCGCATTATTATAGAAAAATCATGTTATAATAACTACTGATTCAATGGGAATTAAGGGGTTGAGTAGTAGGTTCAAGAACATCAACATGACTGACAATTTTTTTTACAATTTGTCATATTACCTGGTACTGTTAGTTTTTATGAGTTCTTTTATAATAACAATGTTTTAATTTGATAGTATTCATTAATAGAATAAAAATATGAAAAGGAGGAAAAATGCTTGTTACAGTGTGTTAGTCTATGGTGGTAAGTGATGAAAAAATGTAGCTGTGAAAGAAGGTGAAGAGGAAAAATTATGATATTTGTGGCGTGTGACTCACTAACCATAAGAAACATAAATAAACTTATAAAAATGTTTGAGAGACAAATAATACTGTATAGAAGTGGTCCCCAACCCATGGAACCATATTAAGGAGCCCGCAAGGGTTTATTAGAAAACTGTGAATTATTTGGGATTCTTTGTACAAGTGAAATTAATACAAATACGTAATAACCTGATACAACTGTAGTGTACAGGACGTGTGTATTTACCCTAGACTGGGCCCAGAGAGAGAGTAAATGTAAAAAGTATGTAACTGTTAACAGTTAGACGTATAAAACTGCAAATAACCGTACAGTATACAGTCGGCTCTCGCCAATAACGTTTAATAGGAGCCTGAAAAACGCCGTTATTAGCGAAAACGTTATTTGTGTGACATTAAAATACATGTAAAAAGGGTTTATTGGTGCTGCCGCCCCAAGAATTTCACCCAATTTTTCCCCTTAGAAGCCCTCCTAACACTTTTTGTTTGCTGAAATAAGAGGAATTGTTATTCAATCATCAAAATAAAGAGTTTGAGTAATATAAAACTTAGCTTGGGGGAGTTTTTGAGGTGCTTGGTGTGATGATTGTTCCGTATCTGAGGGCCGCTAAGACTTGCACTGTCTTTCATTCTACAAGCTAACCATATCACAAGAAAATGCTCTGTTATCACTAACAACCTGTTTCTATCACTTTTATCATTCATAGCTCGCCTCCCATTTCCATCACTACTGAAATATTTCTTAGCCAGCGCAATACTCTTCTTGGTCTCCTCTAAATTCCTCTTAATATTTCGCACTGTAGACTCAGGACAGTTCAATTTCCTCACAATATCAATGTTCCGTGCACCACTTTCAATGAGCTCAACAATCTGTTCTTTGTCCTTCACAGAGTAGGCACACTTCTTGAGGCTTTGTCTCTTAGCTTTGGGGTCTTTTTTCTCATTCACTTTAAAAGTTCCCGGGCGTTCAGGCGGCAAATCACTCCCTCCACCACCTCCCCTAACCCCCACAGGCAAAAATGCGGAAGCCATTGTTGATTACCGACCCTAGCAACCACTGGTTATAGAGGTGAAAATCTCACACGTGGGCGTAGCGCTGTATTCCACAGAGCATGTGTGAGAGTGAGAGTGAGGCGGAGCGGACGACTACATCATCAACATGGCGGCAAACAAACACTATCACTGATGCGCATGGACGCTTCCCGCAAAATCTACGTTATTCATGAGAATCCAGACGTTATTATCGAAAATGGGTATCTATTGTAATTTACCGTTATTGTCGAAAACATTATTGTGGAAGTCGTTATTGGCGAGAGCCTACTGTAATGTGATTTTCAACAAAATCTAATTTTGGGCCCAAACTGTCGAAAATGCAAGTCTTACACCTTAGTAATTTTTCGACCAAAATATACTTTTCTCTCAGAATTAAAATTTAAGGGATTTAACTAATAAGTACTTACAGAATAACACATTAACACCAAAATCGCACTTACGAAACCCATAATTGGAGATAAATTAGCATTGAAAAATTTCATTAAATTTTCCAAGCGTAATTACAACCACTAATTACCCCGGTCGAACCGTGGACCTCATATTCGAAATCACCATGCTCAGGAGTACCTATACGTATATATGATTTTTTTCTTGAATCTAGTTCCAAAGTTTTGGCGCCCTCCACTACATTTACAAAGATAAATGTGGCCCAGAGCCTACAAAAAGTTGGGGACCACTGCTAGGGGAAAGCACAGTCCACAATAACACATGCTGAACAAAGACCAAGGCATGCAGGGTTGCCAAGTCTGATTTTTCTATAATTACGAGATCCCTCTACATTCGTTACCAAATCGAGTGTTTCAATACCAGATTTTTTAGCATTCCGTACAATAAAAAAAATTATGACTGTATGGAAAACAGGAATTAGCCTAATAGCATACCTTTACATACCAGAAGTGTAGATAAAGTTTATACTGAATCAGTAATAATTCAGTCATACAGGTCAGTGAAATCATCACTACCTACCTCCAAGTTTACCCCTTATGATCACACATGTTAACTGTGAATTTATTTGGGGTTAATAATGTACCAAATAATTTTCATTCATTACCAAATGAATTTTTCATTAACAAATTGTTGCCATAGGTAGCATCTGGCTATGTAGTAGCCATAGAAACTGGCGCATTACCTCCACTTACCACCTCATCATCAACTCACTTACCTCCACCACCTCCCTCATCAATATACAGTACACTGACTTTTCATTACACATCTATCCTTCAGCTGTTATTGTATTATGGTGTTGCTGAGGTATATTTAATTATCCTACATAAAAGAAAAACAGTTGATAAGCATGTACTCTTCTTTTCAGCCAAAATATAATTAAACATAAATATTGAACTGTAATCAATACAACTAAAACACAGAGGTAACAGGGACTAAAGATTGGTGTAACCAGCTGTTGTGAGGTAACATAAAATAACCGATGATTTGATGACACCATCAACATAGACACTAGTGTTTACAGAACAGCTACACAATTGCAATATTTGCAGATTCTGGCAAATAACAGAGAATATCTTGCCTATGAGTTTAGGTTGCATTGGTCACCCATGGTAACAACCTACACCATATGACTAATGTTCACATTTCATAATCATATTACAGTATATGGTGAGTACAGTATAGCCTAAAACTTTAATTTTAATTTGAAAATTTCAGGTCGACTTATTTGCCTGTACAATACATATGTACAGAATTCAATCCTGAATGCTTTCACCATTACTCTATGATGAGAGAATTGTGTTAAATTCTTGAACAGCTTTGAAAATCGGACAATAGACATCAAGTTCATTTCTGATACTATACGTTGAATTTGGATACCTACCTTGGAAAAATTTTCCTGATGGATGTTCCAAGGCTGCCAATGAAACTGCTAACCACACAGTTGTATCTGCTCCCTCTGCTGGTGTTCTCAACTTGTCCTTCATCTGTGGATAGTAAGGTAAACTTACGATTCTAGTTGATTTTGGAGGCATTTTTATTTTGATTATTATTATTTAATTTTGGTGCTGTTAGTTAAATCTACTGGTTGCCCAGATAATAAATAATTGGGATTCTACTGTATATGGCAAAATGTGCTTCAATTTATAAAAGGTTTTTTAGGAAAGGAACCCTTTTTCAAATTCAGATATGCCTACACATACACCGGTATTCAAAATAAGCAATAAATATAATTTATTGTACCTTTTCATAAAATTCCGGCATGGAGGAACGTACAGCTGGGGTGTTTGCCCAGCCAGGATGCATGCAGGAGAAATGAATCTCAGGATGAAGCTTGGCAAACTGTTCTACCATTACAACCTGGAATATGAAAAAAGCTGTTATCTAGAACCTTTCAAGACAAGCTTAATAAACTGCAAACCAGGGTGTCTACTGGCCAGACAAAACAAAATTCCCTGGCTTTTCCAGGTGTAAATATGAAAAATTCCAAGTACCATACATTAATTCAGTAATTATTATTACAAAAGAATAAAAAAATTTGAGATTTTCAATAATATGTATACTGTACCTGTATACTATTGGAAAATTTAAAGATGATACTTTATAAATTATATTAATCAAGAAATTGACGATCCTTTCGCGACCCACTCCAAGCCTAGTGATGAACATCGGCAAAAACCTTGACCCCCCCCCTCCATATTTTTCTGATTAAACATTTGTGCGTTTCGTGTGAGTCGACCTGGACATTCCAAAAAAGCCGGAAATCCAGCAATAACCAAAAAATCACATTTCTGATCTACCTATATGACTCATTTTTTACGTAAATCAATATTTTTTTGCAAAGTGAAACTAATGTTTTTGTATTGTAAAGATAGCCTATTTTTTTAAGAAAAAAAATATATATAAAGACAATTTAAAACTTAAGGGCACAGTGTAATTGACTTTTTAAATATTCTTAATTATTTCAAATGTTATTAATTTACACTAATTATTCAAATTTTAAAATTGTGAACCCAGATTCTTAATCAGCATATAAAGAAGTACTTTTGTATGACATTTAAACTAAATCTACTTTTTTTTCACTCCAAGTGCTGAAAACTAAGGTGGTATTAGGTCAGGCATATATTTTATACAAAACAAAATTTGGGGGGAAAGTGAAAACTAATGTGTTCATATAGTAAAGATAGTCTATATTTTTAAGAAATTGTATATAAATGTGATTTAAAACTTACGGGCACAGCGAAATCATTCACATACCCCCGTCTACCTGAGGCGACCAAAATATCAGAAGGCGAGTAGATTATAGAAATTTACTGGTTTTTTAATCGCCCGGCAGGCAACTAGCATGTCAGCCTCGCAGTGTCTTGGAGCTATCCAGTAGTTTTCAGCAAAGATTGAAATTTTGACAGTCTACTTTACCATAAGGATGTGCTTAGTGCCCAGTTTATATAAAGCATTGCAAGAGCTAAAGTGTGAACCCGCGTGCTTGGTCTTTGCTTCCTGCTGCATCCAGGGAGTCCGTGATCTTAGTACAACCAATACCTCTGTACAGTATTAACGTGATGTCTAACCAACACAGACATTATTATTAATCATCATGAGTCGCTAAAGGTGATTGTTTGATATGTGGAAGAATGTTAATCCACCACCAAGCAAAAAACCAAAGAAGAAAAGTTAGAGCAGCAGCATCAATATGAACAATCAACAGTACATTAGATTCATATTATGGTGACACTTGGAGGAAGAAGCTTGTTGGTATTTGTACAGATAGGGCCAGTGTTATGACAGGTTGCAAAAATGGCTTGGTAGCTCGGTTTAGAAGAGATTTATAGCAGCCAGAGTTGGAAGGTATTCATTGCACTGCAAATAAACTTAAACTGGCTTATATGGATGCAGTGAAGGATGTACCTCTTGCCAAGATTGACCTATTGCTGCTAGGAATATACCAATTCTATGAAAAGAGTTCTCTCAACAGGAGCATGTTGAAACAGGCTCATGAAATATGTCAGCTACCATTTTTGGTACAAGGTGGCTCCCTCATATGCTGCAGTCCTTAGAACATACACAAAAGAGTTACAAGGCTATTGTACTTCACATGCAACAGACACAGAACCCCAATGACACTGCATACCACAAGGACTTATCCAGAAAAGCTAAGAAATATCTAATACTTCTAACCAGTGCTGATGTAATCAAGTACATCCACCTCCTTCTGGATATCTTGAGTTGCCTTAGGTGCCTTTCAGAGCAGTTTCAACACAGACAAACCAATTGTTTCTACTATCATGACTGAAATTCAGGCCTCAGTACTGTTGACTTACTCAATAAATATTTGACAAGCCCAGGACCCAGTCAGAGGAAGATTTTGGGAGGTGACACAACCATATTCCAAGGAGAAAAACTGAGTTATAGATATAGCACCTTCACAGATGCAAGGCATGATATGCTGACATCTCTGAATACAAGTCTAAATAAAGATTTATTGACATGGCCAGTACAGCTCTGCAAAATTCATGGATTCTGGATTTCAAGCTGTGACCTACAGAATATTCAGGGAATGAAGGTTTCGGAGACACCACTGTGGGAGCGCTGGCTCAATCTCTTGAGAAAACACTAAGGGAAGCAGAAGTGGATCCAATCAAGCTGGAGGATGAATGGGCTGTACTCAAATGCTATCTCTACAAAATGAGTAAGATATCACCTGTTTCAAAACTGGCCTGGCAGCAAATAAATGAATCATACAGAGAAAAGTGTGGCTCCTTTCTCCATTTACAGTATTCCCTTAAAGCTCGTGGGGTTAGGTAAAATGGACCCCGTGAGAAAGCAAAATCCACGAGTTTTTCATGCCAGTCCCAGGTGTGCAAAATACATATATAAATAGCTATACAGTGATCCCTCGATTAACAAACACAATTGGTTCCACAGAGTCGTTTGTTAACCGAAAGTTTTGTTAACTGAATCTATTATTTCAATGGGATAGTGGGTAATTGGTTCCAACTCACAGAAAAAATATACATACAAAGTACTGTATACCAGTAATAGAATTAACAAAACATTAAATATAAACTAAACACAGTACTGTACAGTATACTGTACAATAATAAAAAAAAAATAGATTACTGTATTTTAACTTACTTTGAGGTGTGTATGTCGTATTCCCGGAAGCTTTGTTTACATATCAAACAGCTGATTGTAGAGGCAGTCGATGATAACATGCCATATTCTTTACAGAGTGCATTGGTTCTAATGTCTTCTTTATGTTTCATAATAATTTCTGCACTGTATATAATCAATATGTTAACTAAATTTCAGAATGACAAATAATTTCAATGTATAAATGCAAAAATATTCAAGAGACCAACAAACTCGATGTTCACTCCACTGTAAACAAAGTTAACTGAGAAGCGTTGGTGGGTGATTCGATCAGCTGAAGGGCATACAAAAACTGTTCCCTGTACTGTATCAATATGTTAACTAAATTTCACAACAAAGCGTGTTTCACGTAAGGCTGTCGTTAATCGAAGTTTTGTTCGTTAATGGAACTGAAAATTCTTATGGGAGCTAATTCGTTAACCGAAATTTCATTAATTGAACTGTTCGTTAATCGAGGGACCACTGTATGCACATGTATAACAACATTATGTATGTATAAGACAATATAATAAATATGAAATAACAAAAAAAAATAAACATGAAATAACACAGTATGGACATTAGGTCCACACAGTGATAGTTAGTTGTGGTAGTGACAATGCAAAGACAATACGTACCTCTGACATGTGAGGTGATCTGGTGCACAGGGTGTAAACAACCCTGTACTGGACAGTTCCTAGTGAACATGCCAGGTACCGATTAGTATTTGTAATGTGTATACCATAGGTACCTATACGTATAATTATATCCTTTTGTATTAAATTAATTAAATTTTATCAATAATACCAACAAATGTTTGGTAATAGGTCCATAAAGTGATAAAGAGCTGTGGTAGTGAGAAACATGAGAGCATATAGCCAGTGATTTGGCTTTGCCAGTACAGTAGGCTATTAAACCTGCAAAAATTATTTTTCCAAAATATACCTTGTTAATTATAGGGTGCAACTTATGACCTGGGAAATATGGTACTCTGTACTGTTGACTCCTCTTGATCCCAGGCACACAGCCTCAGATTTATTTTATTTATTTTCCATGGCAATCCGTGAGTTGCTGAGGAACACAAGCTTTAAAACCACGAGCTTTAAGGGAATACTGTAGTTGACCTTCTACTGTCTATTCCAACCAGTTCTGCTGATGCTGAATGTGGCTTCAGTCAGGTCAACCTCATCAAGACAGACTGGCACAGTAGTCTCACCGATGACCACTTAACAGATCTCCTAGTGGTACAGTTACAGTCAGAATGTATTAGCAACTTCAATCCAGAGCAAGCCATCAACAGATTTTTAACAAATGGGACCCGCCGTGTTGATGGGTATAACCACACAGATGGTTGCAACACAGAGGAAGTGCTGGACGATATCAAAGAATTGGACAAGGAGCATATGCAGAAACTTATTGATCAAATTCGGTAAAGAAGAAAGCCCTCACTTACTTGCAGTTGCTAATACATACAGTGCAGTAATTTTTTAAGAGGATCTAAAACTGTTTATAAATTTCAGCTAATGATATAAAGTAAACAATGAAACAGATTTTCCAGATTATAATAATATGCTGTGCATGCCAGTGTTTACAATTTGAATATACAGTAAAAGTCCAAAAATCCGGATGCCAGGAATCCGGACCACCCGAGAATCCGGACTTTTCGAAAACTCAATTTTTTTAAATTTAGCGGGGGCTTTTGTGGGTTATGTGAATGAATGGAGTTGCTTTAAAAAATTAATTTACATAATTCTAATAATAAAAGTAATTGTAAATTATAGGTAGCTAATTTTGTTAGTTTTGTAATTAGCTTGAACTGAAATGTAAAATTTGAGGCACTATAAATCTTTTGTGTGTATGTGTGCATGAGTGAATGCCACAGCTGCACAGCGACAACAAACGACCACACGATCGACACTTTAAAACAAGCAATCAAACTGTGACAACGTATGTAATTTTGAGTCCTACTCTTTCCATGTACAGAGTACAAGCCCATAATAATGGCCCCTAAAGTAGATAAACTTCGTTGTGTGAAGAGAAAGAAGAACACATTGAAATTGAGTGACAAACTTGAAATAATTAAGAAACTAGAATGTAATGTGAGCAATGCTGTTCTAATGGAAACATACAACATTGGAAAGTCTACAATTTATGATATAAAAAGGCAAAGATTAAAATTCTAGAATTCACAGCTTCTTCTGAGCCTTACATTAAAATTGCTGAAAGAAAAAGTTTACATTGGCCCAAATTAGAAAATCTTGATAAAGTGTTGCACGAATGGTTTTTGTTAAAACGATCAGAAGGTATGGCAATTTCTGGGCCGATACTTATTGCCAAAGCAAAGTCTTTCAAGGAGCAAATGAACATTGAATCAGAGTGCGCATTTAGTGATGGATGGCTTAGGAATTTCAAGACTCGCCATGGTATTAGACAGTTTGTTTACATTTTTGTCTAGTGTTGACTTAATATTTCTTTAAAACTGCTCGTTTTGATAAATGAAGCATGCTTTATTTGCTAATGAATAAACTATCAAAATGTACCTGTTCATCTCTTCTTTATTCCTCCTTAAATTTTAATTTTAAAAGTACTGCCTGAGAATCCGGAAAATCCGAAAATCCGGACCGACCCAATCCCCAAGCAGTCCGGATTTTTGGACTTCTACTGTACTGTAATTTACCTTTTACTATTAAGTTAAATAACATGTCAAAGTAAACAACTTTCTATGTAGGCCTACCCAGTATATGTCAACTATTGAAATTTGATTGTAGTTTTTTAATGTCTCATAAAATTTTGGAAGGGCTAATAAACTTTGGGAAGAGCTAGTTATTATTTGGTTCTATTAGCCCGATTGGCTACCTAAAAAATGGCAAATTTCTACCCCTGGTAATTGACTTTTTAAATTACCTATAAATATTTAAAAGGTCATTAATTAATACAAATTACTCAATTTTTTTAATTGTGAACCCAGATTCTTAAATCAGCATGTAAAGTGTTACCTCTGTATGAAATTTAAACGAAGTCAATTTTTTGACCACAAGTGCTGCAAACTAAGGTGGTGGAAAGTGGAAAATAGCCATCTGCTGTCTGTAAGAAGGAATTTGGCAGGAATTAAATAATGTGTAGTGAGTGTGAAAAGTGGGTATACAAGAGGTGCAATGATATAAATAGCACACTGTAGGATGTTACTGACTTTCTGTGTGTTACACATGCAGGTAATCAGACCCAGATGCTAGCAAATGTGCCCTTGTGGCCATGAAACATGGGTCCGTACACGGGGGGCTGAGAGTATTATTTTACAGTTCACATAGTTTAAACGTCAAGATATCACTGAAGATAGACAGTATGATTTACTGTCTATCCTCAAGCCAAATATGCACCTACAATAAACTGCACATATGGTGGGGTAAGGGACAAATCAGTTTCAGCACATGTGGAATATGATGGATACTTTGACTGAATTGTACATACCGGTATTTTTTCAAGTATTCACCCGAGTGCCAGCAAATACTTGAAGACAACATAATCAAAATGTGCCCTCACAGTTCAAGGCTAAAGTTAGTTGATCAATGTAAAACTCTTTGGGTTGCTCAGCATAATGCTTTAGAGGTACAGCTACTCCTCGACTTACGACATACTAGACCTACGACCACCCGCACATACGACCACGGCAGTCGGTACCAAAATTTTTTCAAATGACGCGCATATTTTCTAGACCAAAACGTTTCCGTCCCGTACGAAAGCGTCGCGTGGGCTGGGTCGCCTCGTGGCTACAGCATCCACGCCGTAGAGTGCTTAGTTGGTGTTTGGCTGTCGGTGTTGTCGATAGTGATCGAACCATGTACTGACAATATTTTCGTTTCTAATTCACTTTAGAATGACTGGCAAGCGTAGAAGTGAGAGTGCTGGTGGTGCTCACAAGAAAAGGAGACAGTCAATTACTTTTGAGATGAAAATGCAGATAATAATGCAATATGAAAATGGAAAAACGGTAGCAACCATTTCACGCGACCTAGGCTTCTCGCACTCGATCATATCGACAATTTTGAAGGACAAGGAACGTATTCGTGAGGTAGTGAAAGGATCAGCACCCATAAAGGGAACACTAATAACGAAAAAAAGACAAAGTCCTATTCATGAGATGGAAAAATTACTTGTGATATGGATGGAAGATCAGATACAAAAGCATGTACCCTTAAGCCTTCTAACTCTAAACTCTACAGGCTAAGGCAAGAAGCCTTTTCAAAAGCCTGAAGGCGCAGGCAGGAGATGAGTGCGACCAAAACTTCACAGCAAGTCATGGGTGGTGCCAACGTTTTAAGAACCGCTACAGTTTGCATAGTGTAAAGGTGAGAGGAGAGGCAGCAAGTGCTGATGTGGGTGCTGCCGAAGCTATTAAGAAGGAGCTAGATCGTGTCATCGTGGAGGAAAATTATTTGCCTGAGCAAATATTTAATGTGGATGAAACTGGCTTATTATGAAAGCGCATGCCAGAACGGACATACATCCACAAAGAGGCAAAAACAATGCCGAGATTCAAGGCATTCAAGGACCGAATCACACTTCTGTTGGGGGGGGGGGGGTATGTAGCTGGATTCAAGGTAAAACCTTTCATGATATATCATTCAGAGAACCGAAGGGCTTTTAAAAATGTCAACAAGCACACACTGCCAGTGTTTTATCGCAATAATAAGAAAGCATGGATGACCCTAGCACTGTTTGAGGATTGGTTCTTGAGTTGTTTCATTCCACGAGCCAAGGAGTATTGTCTGCAACAAAAGGTTGCGTTCAAGAATTATTAATTTTTGATAATGCTCCGGGACACCCACCACACCTGAACGACCTGCACTCTGATGTTAAGGTAGTCTACCTTCCACCTAACACTACCTCTATCATTCAACCCATGGATCAAGGTGCTATTGCTGCTTTTACAGTGTATTATTTACGTACGACCTTCACTCAGGTTGTTGCTGCTACTGAAGGTGAGAAAACGCTCAGAGTTTTGGAAGGACTACAACATTTTGAAATGTATAAAAAACATAGCTGCAGCATGGGATGAGGTTACAGGTCAGTGCATGAATGGAATATGGAAGAAAGCCCTGAAAAAATATGTGAACAGTTTCAGAGGATTTAATGAAGATGAAGTAATTTCTGCAATTAGTAACAAGATAGTGGAGTTGGGTAAACAGATGGAGTTAGAAATTGATAATGAAGATGTTGAGCAGTTGGTTGAAAGTGTAGCAGAAGAGCTAAGTAACGAGGATCTTATTGAACTGGATGCACAGAAAATTGCAGAGGAAGAAGAGAGTAAAAATGTAGAAGAACCTGCACTCCCCCAAAAAATTTTCAGTGAAACAAATGGCAGAGGCATTTGCTACAATTAATAAGGCGATGTAAATGTTTGACGGAATGGATCAAAATAATGAGCGTTTTGCAAAAGTTGATAGAATGATCCAAGATACACTTGCTTGCTACAGGGAGATTTACAATGAAAAGAAAAAGCAAACTGTGCAATCTAAATTGGACATATATTTTAAGAAGTCCCCCATTGCTGTCTCCTCACGCCCCACCAGTGCTGCCTCTTCACTCCCTAAAGATGATCCAATACCTTCAACAAGCAAGTTTCCCCTGTATGTTAACCTGTCTCAAGAAGGCGACATTGATGACCCACCCAGCCCTGTCTCCTCTGCTGAAGCAGAGTTAATGTAGTCTCCATGTATAATTAAAAAATTATGGGGGCCCCATGTGCATTCAGCTGACTACATTAAAGGTAAGTGCACAGTAACATTGTGTTCATTCTTCAATATTGATTACTTTTACTGTACTGTATTTCATTTTAGATTTTCTATGTACGGGTATTATTTTTTGCATTTTCGACTTACGACCAATTCAACTTACGACCTGGATTTGGGTCACTAACCCCGTCATAAGTCGAGGAGCAGCTGTATTTGGTGAGTTACCGTATTATAGCTTTTGTCAAAACTATGCAGAATATTGCCGAGGACAGAGAATCATGGAACTTGAGGATTTTTGTACCTTGTCACCTATTCCATCACCTGCTTCCAGTTCAGGTTTCCTTAACCTGCCCTAATTAACTACACCTGCTGCCAATTCAAGTAACTGGGATATGACGACTCTTTCTGAATCTGCTAGTGCTTACAGAAGGTTGGTGACAAGTCAGATATTATTAATTCAACTATCAACTGGAATCGAGTATGGCAATTATGCAAAGCTGTGTTAGCATAATGTATGATGACCTACATACTCTCAAAGAACTCCTTCACTATCAAGAGCTGCCTGGCAACAGATGAAATCTTAGATAAAGTATCTCAATGGATGTAGTGTAAGGGTACTTAGTATTATTTGTGCATAAATATAATTTTTTGGGCAACACATGCCATAGAATACATAAAAACAAAAGAATAAGTTATGCATGATTTCCAAAAATATTCAATATGCTATGAATTTAGAAAAAAAATCATTGAATATCAGCGTACCGATGATTATTATACTTGACAGTTAACCCTTAAATGGCTGCCATCATCAGTGGGAGAGCAGAGCAAGGAATCCTTAGCTGCTGTTTAAGAGTTAGATGATTAAGGCAAAAATATCAATATGTACAGTATTACATAACATAAAAGCATAAATTAATGGTACAGTATCAGGCTTTAAACAAACTGCTTATTCTTGTGTTAACTTTCAATCGATAATATTTAAATTTAAGTGGAAATTGAGCACAAGACAAATGAATATGCAAAAGACAAACAAAACATATACCTGATGCAATATTCCATACCTGTTGCCTCTTGTTTTGTGCATAAGCCAGAGTGCCATCAAATGGCTTCATCTTGTCAAAGTTAAGGTCTTCAGTGTTAAGCCTTTGAACCAGCATACCACCTGATGAAACCACTATCACTCGTGATTTCTCACTTCTGAAACAACAATATCAGACGAGTCGAAGTAACCACAACAGATGCAAATACCATTTTATAAAAAAGTTATTTTTAATTTTTAATGTTTTAACATTGTCTTCCACATCAGCCATTTTCCATGCTTGAGTGGGTTAGCCATGATTACATGATGGCAGCTCTCCATGTTGTGTGATCTCTTGCAACATCTCTCCTCAGGTTCTTATATCTTAGGTCACTTCTTACAACCTCTCCCCATGTCATTCTTGGCCCACCTGTGGCTCTCCTCCCCTCCATATTCAAACTCTTGATACAATTGGTTTCCTTCATTCTCTCCACATGCTCAAATCATCTCCGTCTACCTCTACACAAAATCTCGCTTATACTCTCAAAACTCAGTCACCCTCTTTGCTTTGAACAGGGTTTCCTATAGTTCAGTGTAACATTAAACATCCATCTCACCATTCTCATTCCAGCTCACTCGAGCCTAACTTATGTCATTCTCTTTAACTGCCCCCGTTTTACTGCCATACAACATCACACTTCTCACACTGGTTGCATACATCTTTTCTATCACACAATTAGAAACAACACTAAAAACTATTACCGGGTATTCAAAAATTAAGCAATATTTTAACCTATTTAAGGAACACTAAAAACTTTTATCCAAAACTAATGTTTAAAATGGTTAAGGCCATCTAGATACAGCTTGTAATATATATAAATGCTATGAAGAGGCTGGGATTCATCCTGAAATCCAATTTTAGGGTTGAATCCAGAACTAGGCAACCCATGAATCACAGTCCTGAGTCTTGTCTAATTACAGTTCAAAAAGTTCATTCTAACTCTTTCAATTCAAGTAGCCAAACACCACTTGAGCCCCATGGGAGCTGAAATAGCCACCTGGCTTCTGATAATTGAACCTGGACTGAAACAGTATTGGGCAATGGTTGTGGGAGGCCTCCTGGGATAATAAAATGTGTTGAGAATTTCTACACGAGACAAAAAAGAAAAAGACAAGTCATCACTGCAGAAGATTTATAATAAGCCATATGTTTTCTAAATTGGCATCTTAGAATCATTTTTTCAGACCCATGGGTGGACTCAAAAACAGGTTACTCACTTACATACTTCCAGTAAGATAAATGACATATTCTCTGGGTAGCCATTGATGATTTTATGCTACCATATAGATAATAGAGTCCAACACGATGTCTATCCTTCATGGCCCTAAACCATGCCCCTAACACAATATGAAAACATCACATATTACGATGACACCAAACTATCATATACAATCTCTGCCTTATACCAGAAAGATACTTAACTCCAGGGGTATCATGAGGAAAGTAAACTTCTGCACTTCCAATTATGCCAAACCAGCTGCTACTGCTGCAGCAGTGGTGGTCACAGCAGACATCAACTGTGTCAATGTTGACAAAAGTAGCCAAGTGGGTAATGCTTGTAACTAATAAAAAAATTTCATTGTGATGCAGTTTGACTGATGAGTTGTGGCAAACAGATAAGTTGTCTATAATCTCTTGTCATCAGAGGAGCTATTTGATGATGTCTGGAAATTTTGACACTTACATGACAAAATTACACAAACCTTAATGTCCATAAGCTTCAGCATTGACAGTAAGTGCCAGGTCCTTCTTCCTCACCTAGTTGTTCAACATAGAAGACAATGTCTCATCATGTTTCCACTAACCTTCCTGTTTCTGGTTACTACCCACATACATCTGACCCTAAGACTCACTCTCCAGGCTGCACAGGTAATCATATGAGGCTATGCAGGCCATAACTTCATAAAGGCCCCCAAAAAAAAAACCACCAGAAAACATGTTTACAGTTTTGGAAAATCGAACTCACTAAATCTCTAGAATTAATTGTGTTAGTGCAATCATTCATGTAACAAACTGAAGCTTACATACTCAGGATTATGTTGCCATAATCAGATAATAACAACCTTGTCATGATATTAGTAATTATGAAAATGACATAACCTTAACAATTTAGAGGCATTTGATCTTGATGAAATTTGAATATTTTGCATATCATAACTACCGTATTCGACAGCGTATAAGACGCTTTTTCTTTAATGTATCACAAATTACCCTGTGTCTAATGCTCCCGTATTACGGATGGGAGGCCGAGCGCCGTAGGCGGAGGTGCCTAGCTAGGGAGTCTGGGATGAGCAGTAGTCCACTAAGCACAAAAATTGTTACTAATAATATTAAGAATAATAAAATACTGAAAAACAAGCCAAATTAACATAATCTATTATCACAAACTTACGGCAAATTTGCCGAAGATGAAATAATAGCTTACATTGGCTTAACGGCAGAGGGAAGCTCGCAACATCTCACTGTAACTTCTTCCCCAGCATACATAACCCACACCAGACACATGTCTTACATTTTTTAATGACTGTATTACCTTTAAGAAACATTTGTTTATTATCTAAATAAAAAATGCCCCTAGAAAGATTAAAGAAATGTTAACAGAAACTTCAGCCGCCAGTCAGCCATTTGCAATGAGTCAATGACGCCAAAACAATAGCAATGGTGCTACACCCTGGTGGCAGATCGCGGCAACACAAAACATTACAACCAAAAAATGAGTTTCACATCCTGTCAGTAATTCTCTTGACCAAAATATAAACAAGCCACACAGCTGCTCTGATCAGAGGTAGAGTTGGGTTAGTATAATGTTACTATACAGTACGTATATGATTTCCTACTTGATTCCAGTATATATTGTACTTACATTCACAAAATCATATGTTTTCCCCTACAAAACCACTTTCAATAATTGTATGATGAAACGTACTAAAAAAAAAAATTTCTACAAAATATCCTTGTAAAATTGGGGTGCGTCTTATGCAGTGGTGCGTCTTATATGCCGGCAAATACGGTAATCACAATCAGCACTGAAAATGTCAGAAATTATAGTGATCGCTGTAATTATCACCTTACCCATTTTCTGACCAAAAATTTATGTATGTGTTGGAAATAAAAATTTGGTAATAAAAGTGATATCTCCTTTAGCCGGAACAATTGATGCAGTGCACTTCTGGGATGAGATATTTCTGGGTAACGAGATGACTCTCTCAAACCCGGAAAAATATCCCTCATCCCCGGAATTTTCCGGGTAACGGAAAAATGTTCTCTGAAGTTCCAGAAATTGCGCCTGATTTTCATCTCTCAAACCCAGAAAAAACTCCCCCATCCCTGGAATTTTCCGGGTATCGGGAAAATTTTATCAAAATTTTCCGTTAAAGGTGCGCCTCAGAAAATCGTTCCCAAAGCCGTAATTTTCCGGAAATTCAGGCTTTGGAAATGATTTTCCGAGAAAATGTAAATTCCTGCTATCGGAGAGTTCCAGGTTTGAGGGATTCCGGCTAATGGAGATATTACTGTAACATACAAAGATTATTGCATGCAGAATAATCTACAGTACGCACACAGTATCACACGGCCACATGGTTCCTTAGACGTCATTTACAACACGCAACCACTGGAGCATCAGCAAGCGGGGGGAGAGGAGCTACAGCACACCCCACACCAGCAGCACGAAGTAATGGCTGATAATCCCTTTACAGAAATGGGATTTTCGACCCTACAAATCTATTGCTCATCGCTCCCTCAGCTTTGGAGTTGCATGGCAATAGGTGTGGGAAGACAATGAGATAAAAAAAACGTTTTTGCCAAGGGTAACATTTACGAAGTTATGGTCAGCATAGCCTCATATAGTTACTGCCCTGCCATGAAATATTGGACTTCATTTTTATTCAACATGAACATGTTTGCCAATAACTGTGACCAGGTGGTCAGAGGAACCAGAGTATTTCACCGAGTTCCAAATTCATTGGAGGACTCCCCGAGTATAGTCCAGCTCTAATAAACAAACGGCAAAACATGTAACTCACCTCGTAAGCAGAGCCACTTCCCCTGTGCTAAAGTTTGCCCACCAATTATTCTTAACAAGCGTACCTAGTGTAATAGTGTACCATTAGCATAACCACTACAAAGAATTTCCATTTACCAAATAGGCAAATTTATCAAAGAGCAAAATAAACCAATGGCATCACAACAGTGAATGTCACAAGCAAGGCATTGTTCACTGTTATAAGGGAGGGTCAACCTCTTGGAAATTTCCCCACTCCATCCAGGAATTACTCAGTGCTCATTTGAAATAATATAATATGTATGTAAGTACGGGTGTTTATAACTCTGGGACCCCCTGTACTTTCCCATTGCTCAGAGAAGAAGCAAAGCACTGATCATTAGGATCCAAGGGCTATAATTCATGAGCTGCCTACTGAAGTTAATTGGCTTTATCTGCAAAACATTCATGAACTGAATTTGCTTGTTTGTAGTGTAAATTATATTTCTAAGGTGTTCTGAGAAGTAAAGAGGTAAAATCAATGCAAAGTTTTTCAAAATTTTGCTTTAAACCATATTTACAACTGCAATCATACATGAACTTGGTATACTAGTGTGTTGTGTTTACTTTTGTGTGGCTTAAATGTTTTCTTGGTATGTTGTACATACTGAAGATGTGTCTTTATGCAGGTTAATATTATATCTGTTTTTCTCTAAAAGAAATATCATATCATTGTTCACACTAATTTATGGCTTAACTATCATCACTTGCCTTAGGGACTGACCTCAAAATGTGCATGGTGTTGCAAACTGTGAAGAGAATAACCACATTTATACCGTATATGAAAGGTATACAGTATTCATAAATGGCAAATTCACAAAAGGAATAAGATTTACTGTTTGTGGATTACTGGTAGGAACTAAGGGGGTTGCAATATGAGTTCAACTTTAGAATCAAAAGTACAACCACTCCTCGACTTACGACGGGGTTTGGGACCCAAATCCAGGACGTAATACATAGAAAACCTAAAATGGGTGTCTCTTTTTCTTCTCAGCACCACAAAACTCTCACTTTTAAGCATGTCAGCCATTTTAAAGGGAATTAAAAACAAAAATTTTGTCAGTACACAGCACAATCACTAACGTCCTGACTCGAAAATACGTAATTTGAAAAAATTTTGGTACAACTGGGGCAGTCGTATGTCCGGGTGGTCTTAAGTCGAGTAGGTCGTAAGTCGAGGAGTAGCTGCAGTGTGTTAAATACATGAGTACAGTAAAGCCTCGAATAACGACGTTAATGTGTCCTCCAATATTGCAGTGTAAGGTGAATCATCGTATCGCGAATCAATAATTACCATTAAAATAAAGCAATAACAATGAGATGCGCTCCCAAGTGTGACCTTTTCATATCTTTTGTGTGGCTTTTTACCCTCGTTTCCCCCCAAAACAGTACAATAAATGAAAATTGCAACTATATTCTTTAAATAATGTTTCTGAATGCACCTTATACAATTTAAATGAATAATAATATGGTCACACAAGAGGAGATGGGATGCCATTGTTTTCATTTGTGTTTACAGCCGGGAGTCCGGGACGATAGTTCTACATGAGAAAATGAAGAAATTAAGACCCTGGATGTAGCTGTAGTAAAATTAATGTAAAAAATTAGTATTTATGTTTTAAGTAACGTTATTTAATGTTAATAAATGGAATAATAGAAGCAGCTAACCACTAATGGCAAAAAAAATTGGATTGGGAACACCAATGTATTTGATTGAATTAATCTTTATATATGCGAAATGAACAATACAATTCATTAATAATACGTAGAATATTAAAACACACAAGAGGATAAGAGACAGCATTATTGTTAGTGTTTACACCCATAATGTCAGTTATCTACCTGAAACTGAAGAAAATAAGACCCTGGTTGTTGTTGTAGTAAAACTAATGTAAAAAAAATATGTATGTTTTAATTGATGTTATTTAATGTACAGTAGAAGTAACCACTGATATTAAAGAGAAAGTGAGACTGATAGTGGAACGCCAATATATGTGTGCGCTCTCAAGGAAACATAGTCATTTATCTTAAGAATACAGTGGGGTATGCTATAACAAATCTAATTGGTTCTAGAACCTTGTTCGTTATAGCATTCGTTCGTTATAGGATTAATCCGTTCCAGGCCCCCAAATACAACCACTTAACACTGAAAAATATAATATTAAATTGCAAAAATTGTAGAAAAGTGCATAAATATGCATCTAAACCCTTGAAATAAAGAATATCATTAATACTTGTAATACAGAAACAATAACTTAGTAAAAAAAAAAAAAAAATTATAATGTTCGTTGTAGGAGTTTCGTTCGTTATAGCATTATCAATTTTATAGGTAAAACCGTTTGTTATAGGAATATTCGTAGTAGGATCCGTTCGTTATAGCATACCCCACTGTATGTACAAAAGATTCATTACTGTTTATTACTGAATATGTATTTGATTGAATTAATGTTTATATATGTGAAATGAACAATGCAATTCATTAATAATACATAGAATATTAAAACACACACGAGGAGACAAGACGGCATTGTTTTCGTGAGTGATGATGGTTCTACATAAGAAACTGAAGAAAATAAGACCCTGATTGTAGCTGCAGTGAACTTAATTTAAAGAAATTTAATACCTGTATGTATGTTTTAAGAAATGTTATTTAATGTTAATAAATGGAAGACTAGAAGTAGCTAACCACTAATGGTAAAGAAATAAAGCGAGACGATTGGGAACGCCAACGTATGAACAGTAAGTGCGTAGTACATGTGAAAACATATCGTCATTTCTCTACATATGAATATGAAAGTAACACTTATTTACTGATCATATATATTTGAAATAATATTTACGAATGTAAAACAAAAATTCTTCTCACCAATGGTGTTAAAGTCTAAAATATAAGGACAGCTAATGAATAATGTGCGAGTTTTTACTCAGACGACGAAGTCATCAGGTTCAACTCTGGCTGAAGCTGTAGCTTTCCATAAAGCTGTTGTTGAAACTGTTACTGAACCTGAAGTTGGTGTTGAAGCTGCTTATGATGCTGAAGTTGATGGTTTTGGACTTCAAATAATAAAGCTGTCGAAAGAACCTTGCACAGATGCTTTCTTTTCTCATTATACATCTTTATGTAGAGGTCATTTGCATTTATTTAAATTTTAATGCTTTGTTTCTGTTAATGGATCCACTTCAGAAAATATGTTCAGTGCTTGCTCCATATAATATCCACAGACCTCTCACCTTTTTCATATCATTTTAACACATCTAGTTTCTCGGCTAAGCTTATACACTTTCTATTAGCTTTTGAAACAACACTACCATCACTTGCTCTCTTGCTCATGTTGAATAGGGATGCAAAAATGCTGTAAGAAACCTGAGAAAGTTTTTCTCCTGTTCCTGTTCCAGATGCGTGAAAACAAAAGGTCCGCCAAGCTCCGACTGTTGTTTACCACTCATTAGCAAGGCAGCTTCTTTGCGCAAGGTGCTCTTCATTTTTTTTACAGTACAGTATTTTTTTTTTATAATACATATCGATATTTAGTTATTATTTACAGAAAATTTTAATTTAATTTTATTTTTATTATATTTTGGTGGTAAATACGAATGAAATAAGGCCGTAAATTGAATTGGGTCCTAAATTAACTAGGGTTTTAAATATGAAAAGTTGTTGGTCCAACAGTTGTTATTGGAGGCTTTACTGTATTATGAACCAGGGTCAATGTAGTTGACTCAAGGAACCTAAATTTCTCACTAGACACCGAGTCAATAATTGGTTCAAGAAGCAATTACTGTACTTACTAAATAAGTAAGAATAATTCATGAAAGTAAAATATTATCTGGCCACTTGATCAACTTAAACAGTGAACCTGCCATTAAAATACAGACCCTCTTTGAAGGACATAGAGAAAGGACACTTAATGGTTGGGCTATTTCACAGGTTACCTGCGGAGGACCAACAGGTCATGGATTATATCTCAAGGCACATATAAAATGTATTTTCTTTTTAGTTCAAAGGAAACAACTGTGGATGATGATGTCATAAAAAAACCCTACCTATATGTTAAAATCTGTAGCTAAATTCTAAACCGATTATCAGATAAAAGAAAGCAAGACTGATGTCATTAAGAGAGAACTATGAATGTTATGGGAATTAATTTTTAAAAGTAACTTCATTATCTTCTTAATAAAAAATAATAATTTACTTTTTCATTACTGGGATGAGGTTGGTGGTGAGGATGTAGGTGCCAAGAGTATTTGTTGCAAAGTTCTTCTCCAGACTTTCTTCAACCATCTCTTGGGTATTGAACATGCACCCAGCATTATTGATCTGCAAATAAAATGATCCTTTACTACCTTACAAAATTAACAGCACATTTCATATTTTACTCAAGTAGCACACACCAAACAGATAGACCTTAATTTATGGATGCCCAATTAATGGAATCTCAAAGATGCACAGACACGTCACTGGCAAGAGACTTCATATAGCACACTGCAGAAGAGTACCTGTGGCTTAGCCATGCCATGATGGTCGTTGATGGCAGCCACCAGACGCCAGATGTTTGAGTCATCTGCCCCACATCGCTGCTTCCACTTTTTGTGGAGAGTGCTCACACAGTGGCCATGATCCGGCACTCCATAGATGTCAAAAAGAACGCTGTTGAACACCTGAACCCTGCACAGACACCAGTAGTCACCCTCGATCAGCCCTTGTATGCCTTGGCCAAGCAAATTCAATGGACATGGCCGAAGCATTATGGTGAAGACAAACTGGTGGTTATGTTGGGGGGCTGCATATCGAGATGGCAGCTCTGAAGATGCTGGGGATTGGCTAGAAGGTAGTGGCTGGGTGGAGGCACTAGTTCAAGCCGAGATTGCGACACCAGGATCGGCTGATTCCTTTCTGCGAGCAGCCCACATCACCCACACAAAGAGGGCTCACCAAATTACTGCTGCGGCACTGTATATTCTACAGAAACGTGCCTATAATCACTTCTGCTTGCGAGAAGTTGACCATACCGAATATCTGCCCAAGTTCAATGCCTGGTGCAAGAAGAGAGAAGAAGACACCCCTTTGTTCCAGTACTGGGCAACAGGGCTAGAACTAGAGCTGTTGGTATGTGAGTTCTCTGCGCCAATCCTCGTTCACCATGTACCTTGATGCACTGACAGGACTGGCCCCATGGTTCCATGCCCTAGACCACACTAACTAATAGTTAGTGTGGTCTAGGGCATAGTCAGTAACTATGCAAGGTGGGTCCCTGTTCACCTAAGGGACATGGCAGAACTTGAAAAAAGCACCAAGATGTAGCCAGAGAGTTCAATGCAGGTAACTTCACGGTGCAGAAGACAAGGAAGGTATTCTCATCAATCCTGATTGATCAGGCTCACGAACACAACAACACCTGCATCAAAGGAGATGAAGGAGATGTGGGCTTGACAAACAATCCCAGCGCCCAGTGGTGTTGGATGGTTTCGGGTCAAGAATTTGCGAGTGATAGAAGAGTTCAAAGATGAGCACCAGTATTGGAGAAGGCAAAAAGGCACTCACCATCATGACCAGATTCCCAGTATGCAAACTTCATTCATCAAAGATGTCCACTCCCTTTCCAGTGTGATAGAAGAGCTTGGTAACCCTTTTGAGGAGGAAAGCCTGGATCTGGTGGCCCTTCACACCAAGGAGATTGCCAGTCCTTCTGCAGCTGAGACTGTCAGAAATGCGAAGAGCATTGGCCAAGACCAGTTCCAGACCTTCACCAGAGAACGTCTGATGGAAGGAACCAAGCCTGCCGATGCTATTCTTCATCGAAACAAGCTGAAGGTGTTCAGTGCTTCCATCTCAAATAAGGGAAGCAAAGGAAAGGAGCAGCTGGCCTCTCTCAAGCATGATGCGAGCCTTTTCTCGCAGCTGTATATTGGCTGCCAGAAGAGGGATGGAAACCCTGAAGAATTCTTTTGTCACGAAAATCAAGCACGTACTCCTGCACTCTCTGATGGAGGTAACATCTGTCTATGTATGAAGAGTGACCTCCTTGCATGCTTAGGGGATCTCTCTGTTGCCCAGACAGAAGCTCCTCCTGCCACCAGTGTAGTTCTTGATGGAGTAGCTGTTCTCCAGATGCTCAAACCAGCAGCAGCCAAGAACTTTGAGGAATATGCCCAGGAGGTCTTGATCCCATACATGTCAACAAAGCTTCAAACTGCATCACGGCTTGACCTGGTGTTTGACAGGCATATTGCTGATTCACTGAAATGTACAGCGAGAGCAAAACGTGGACAAGGAGTCCGAAAATGTGTGGTGGGTTCAGCTACCATACCAAGAAACTGGCAGAACTTCCTCAGGGTGGACAGCAACAAGACAGAGTTGTTCAAGTTCCTGTTTGACAAGGAAGACAAGCAGCTTGTCATCACCGATGGACAGGCAGTCCTTAGCAAACCAGTGCTCCCTGATCTGGCATCGATTGCCCCATGCAATCACGAAGAAGCAGACAGTCACATGTTGCAGCATACATCCCATGCAGCCCAGTATGGCCACCATAAGATACTGATCCAGACTGTGGACACAGATGTCGTGGTTTTGGCTGTCTCGGTGGTCCAAGGGATGCACCAGGAAGGTGAACTGTGGTTGGCATTTGGCACTGGCAAGAGTTTCCGCTATCTCGCAGCCCACGAAATGGCAGCATTTCTGGGACCAGAGAAGGCGCGGGCACTGCCTATATTCCATGCCCTGACAGGGTGCGACACTGTGTCCATTTTTTCTGGTCATGGTAAAAAAGACTGCCTGGACAATATGGGCTGTCTACCCAGATCTGACAGAGACACTGCTGAAGCTTTCTGCTGCATCAAAAGTCATACCAGAGGATGTCATGCACATCATCGAGAGGTTCGTTATCCTCCTGTTTGACAGAGCCAGCTCATGCATGGACATCAACAAAGCGCGAAGGAAGCTATTCGCCAAAAAGAACAACGTGCAGCTGATCCCACCAACATTCAGCCTTAGAGGAGCATGTCAAAAGGGCAGCCTACCAGGGGGGTCATGTCTGGGGGCCAAACCCTGATGCCATCACCACAGCTGCCTCCAACAACCAGCTGGGGCTGGACGAAGAATGCAGAAGGCTTATACAAGCCGTTTTGGACGACACTACCTGAGGCTGCCCACACCTGTTATGAGCTAGTCTCGTGCAGATGCAAGAAGGGATGTGTGAAGGGCTGCAAGTGCAAAAATGCTGCACTTGAATGCACAGTACTGTGTGAGTGTGAAGGACTATGCTCCCATCATCGACTTCCTATATTGGTGAATACTGCTCCACGACTCGCTGTACTTGCACATTCGCCTACTGTATTCACCAATGAAGTAATAAAACCATGTTTAATTTTGGTTTATCTCCTTTGTCCTTGTCTTTTAGCACCATAGAATGTCAACTGCGACTATTTTAGTCCTGCAATATGTCTTGAAGTGACTTTTCTGGATGCCGCTATAGATTTCTGAAAGCCATTTTGGAAAATTCCTGCCACGGCCGACCGGGGCAAAATATGCAGTGGCACCATTTCAAGATTTGTTCATTATCCAAAAGTCAATAAGTGTGCCAAATTTGGTACTTTTATCACAAAATGCACAATAGATTTGCTATGCCGCCCCACTAAAAGAGCAGTTCAGGGCATCAGACTTGTATAAGCAGGGTTACGTATTTTGGATACACATACTTTGCGACCCTACTAATTATACAGCACTATACAGGGAATTACAAACGAAAATTTTGTCAGTACACAGCGCAATCACTAACTACAGGACTCGAAAATATGTAATTTGAAAAAGAATTGATACGACTGGCAGTCATATGTCCGGGTGGTCGTGAGTCGAGTAGGTCATAAGTCAAGAAATGGCTGTTAATTAGAAATTAAACAATTTAAGACAAGTACAATACAGGAGGTCCTCGACTTATGAACGCCCACCGATACCAATGGGGTTAAACTTGAAATTTACAGTACAGTAAAACCCCGCTTTACGCGTTTCCACGTTTACGCGGTACCCTGCCGAACACGGAATGCTCACTTTGTGCGGTGCATGTACTCTTTTACGCGGAGAGCGGCGCGGGCAGGGTGCGCACAAGGTCGCCCAGTCATCAAAACATTACCGAGTTCTTCACCCGCCACCCACCACAGCCGGCCCAAGTCAGTGATAGTGATAATGATAGTGAGGATATGGACTTATATGGACTTTGAGGGGTTTGACAAAGAGGCCCTGCAAGCCTCTGTGGTGGATAGTGATACAATTGATACAAGTGATACAGGTGAGGGCCAATAATCTGCCCTCTGCCTCGGAACCAACCCCCCATCCCCATGTGCCCAGCCATCTTTTCTACTAATGTAAGTGTTAAAAAACCTAATATTATTGATATTTCTCTTAATTATTAATTGTGTGTGCATACCATCATAAAATTAAGAAGTTATTTTTACTACAATGTAGGTATTGTGTCTGAAAAAGTGGAGTTTGGGGTCGTCCCGGTCTCTATTCCAATTAATCCCATATGTTATGTTGTTCACTTTACGCGTTTCTCGCTTTACGCGGGCCGCAGTGGGTTCAATTGACCGCGTAAAGTGAGGGTTTACTGTATTTTATTTACCTGATGACTTATTTTTTACTTTCATTTCCTGTATTTTGTCATTCTGTTTCATCTTTTTGTCTTAAATTAAATGATTTTAGATGTACAGTTGGTCCTCATATTACGCGGTTAATGTAACCCGGAGGGTACCGCGGAAAGTGAGAAACGCGTAAAGTGAATAACATAACATATGGGATTAATTGAAATGGAGTCCGGGCCGATCCCCAAACTCCACTTTTTGACGACACACAACTATGTTGTAGTAAAAATATTATCTTAACTTTATGATGGCATGCACACACAATTAATAATTAAGAGAAATATCAATAATATTAGGTTTTTAACACTTACATTAGTAGAAAAGATGGCTGGGCACACGGGGATGGGCGGTTGGTTCCGAGGCAGAGGGCAGATTATTGGCCCTCACCTGTATCACTTGTATCAATTGTATCACTATCCACCACAGAGGCTTGCAGGGCCTCTTTGTCAAACCCCCCAAAGTTCATATAAGTCCATATCCTCACTATAATTATCACTATCACTGACTTGGGCCGGCTGTAGTGGGTGGCGGGTGAAGAACTGGTCATGTTTTGATGACTGGGCGACCTTGTGCGCACCATTTTCGCGCCTCTTACACAACATGGCGGATGGCGGGAGGTTTGGATCCAAAAATGGCGCGGCTTGCCAGCCGCTCTCCGCGTAATGGGGTTCACGACCGCGGAATGTGAAAATGTTAGGTTCTGGCAAGGCACCGCATTAACGGTGAAACGCGGAATGCGGGACCGCGTAATATGAGGACCAACTGTACTGTATATAAAAACTTAGGTTATGATATAGTGAGATTTTAAAGATTGTTCTGTAAGTACGGTATGCATATGGCTCCTCTGATAGGGATTTATGGCCATACAGGCATAGGCCCTTAGGAGCGAAGAGGTTAAGAAACAGATACATAATGAAGTGGAAATGATGAACCACTTGACAGATTTGATCCAGTAAGCACTCCTGCTGTGCTGGGCTAGAAACCTCCTCCAATTACTGTGGAAGCTATACACCATCTGTAGAGTACCAGTACAGTATCCAGAAGAAAATATCAACAACTGACAAAATCTTAACCATCCGTCAACTTCTGGTAAAACTAGAGTACTGTATTGAGAATTTGATAGGGACTCATGGCACCTCTTTGTAGATTTTAAGCAGGCCGGTGACACTATTTCTTTATCTATTTTTTATTAATCCAATATCCTAAGACAAAACAGCATAATTTTCAAGATAATGGTTCCAATCCAGACTTGTCATTAATCCAGAGTAGCCCTGAGCAAAATTAATCTGGATTGAAGGGGTTTAGTGTTACAATTAAATACCCATATGCATATCAGAAAATTGCCCACATTTGCTTAATACAGTGGTCCCTCGGTTAACGAGCACAATCCGTTCTAGAAGGTTGCTCGTGAACCGAAAAACTCGTTAACTGAAACCATTGAGTCAATGGGTTTTTGGGTAATTGGTTCAAGCTCACCAAAAATTGCCTAAATTCAACAAAAAAGGTAGAAAAGTACACTTACTTTGAGGTGTGTATGTAGAAGGCTCCTGGATGATGATGATGATGGGAATTAGAATGGGGGTGGAGGAGAAGGGAGAAGAGAAGTCGCCCCATGGCGCCATTTCACCCATAAAATTTTAGTTCTCTTGGTGTAATTCAAGATTATTTTCTTTAAATCAACACTGCACTGCATTATATATTGTCAATATGTAAAATATATTTCAAAATGACCAATAATTTGCTTAGAAACACAGAAAAAAGCGTTTAGTTGAAGAGTCTCAAGCAAGATGTTACCTCCACTGAAAAGACACAAAGACTGACGCCTGTATGCTGTGTTGGCAGGCTGGATGGAGTGCCACAAACTAGTGACCCTACCTTCAATTATGTTCAATAATTGTTAAAATGACTAAAAAATTTAATATTAAACTTTTAAAATTATTGAATAGTATAAACTTCTTGATATTTAGTAAAAGGGTAAGGAATTTAAGCCCTAGAACCGATTACTGTATTGGCGAACTAATACTACAGCTGGTGGACCGCCAAATGCAAGCTAAAACATGTGGAGGTCGGCTCGTAAGAAACTCGTTAATCGAGGGACTGCTCATTAACCGAAATTAAGAATATTATGGAAGGTAACTCATTAACCGAAATCTCGTTAACCGAGGCGCTCGTTAACCGAGGGACCACTGTAGTTTTACCCATCAAAAGAATGAGTGAAAACTGGCAATTAATAACACTGAAAAACTACTTACCAACACATGGAGGTTTTCATTCTGATCACAGAAGTCCTTGGCAAAATTATAGACATCTCTGGGTTTGGATATGTCAAGAAGGTGCACAAATACATTCTGTGGATATGAAAGTTCTTCCATAAATTTTCAATCACAATTGCATTAAGACACTGCAACACTACAAAATATCTACACTTAATTTCATTTACAACAAGAGTTGGGAAATTTACTTTTTAAATGTCAGTGATTATAACTACTGTACAGTATTGTCATTCAAGTACAGTACAGTAAAATTCCGGTTATCTGGAGCCCGGGAAACTAGCAGATTCAACCAACCGGCATCAAAATGAAATAATAAGAATAAAAATTCCTCCTAAATCAGCTAGAATCATAAGTTTGAATACTGCGCACAATAAGGATGAGCTGCCATATTTATTGCTGTGATAAACAATCAAATTGATACAGAGCATATCATAAAATACAATAACATATATTTTATGGACAAGAAATAGCTCCTTCCATACTTCAGCCATGCAGTCAACTAGCTGACTCATATATGTGAGGCTGCCGTGCTACATGTATGCCATGACGTCACAGCCGGAGGAAGCGCAGCCAAGAAGTTATCGCCCACCGTCTCCACACACATTCACTTCCCACACATACACACCCATGCTCTTCATTTTTCTAATTTTATACAGTTGTTATTTACTGTATTTTCTTTATTTCTAAACCACATTAGTGTATTGTAATGACTTTTTTTTTAAATTTTATAGTTGCATTACATGTACGTAACAATATATGAGGCATCTGGGCTGGCGATTCGGCCATGCAGTTATAGCCCACCACCTCCACACACATCTACATCCCACACATACACACCCATGCTCTTCATCTTTCTTATTTTAGTTTTATAATATATTTTCTTTATTTCTAAGCCACATCATTTACATAGAGTGGAATGAGTGTCAAAGAAGTCCATTTTTCTGAGAGACAAATTTGCGAGTTCTGCCTGTAGGACTGTGTATTGTAGGATTTATCTGAAAATATCTTTATCCAGAACCTCTCAATCCCCATAGGTGCCATATCACCAGGATTCTACTGTAGGAAGGTTAAAATTGTCTTTATCCATAGGCTAACCCCAATTGATCAGCCTAGGGTCATATATTAACACTAACAAATAAATCAATCACCCCTTCTTTCCGTTAAAACAAATTAAACAAAAGCCTCAAACTTCAAATAACAATCAAAGTTTGAGTGCATGGGGGAATTTCCTTGGGTGAGTCATGACAGCAAGCTGATGGATGTATTTATGGGTTACTGTGAATATTATTTATTCTCAATAGATTCTCACACTTATTTTCATTACTTCAATCACTGTACTGTACTTCTCTTTTGTTCACTCTTGGCTAATAATTGCACAATCTACAGTGAAAAAGCGAGAGCATTAAATTGAGCCTTGTAGTGGTACTGAGCTGTTGGTGGAGGAAGAATTTTTTTCAAGATATAATTATGTTTCTGGAAGTCTTAGATATCTATTGAATGTATTTATATCCACAATTAATTATAACAGGAAGCAAGGATGGTAAATCTATTTCTCAATTTATGTGATAATACAAAATATATAGATTTACAAACTAATTTGTTAAAAGGTTCAAATTTTTACTCATTTACTTTAAAAAAATTCCTTAGTAATTACCGTACCTGATTCTCAGATGCTTCAATGATTTCTTTCCTGGCCTCTTCGGCAGCGGTAGGGTTACGGCACACCATATGAACAGTTCCTCCAAGTTTTGCAATTTCTGTGGCTATGCATTTGCCAATCCCACTGTTTGCCCCTGTACAAAAAATTAATATTAATGTAAAAATTTAAATTTGTCACCACAAGAGACACAAATGACCTGTGATACCTGGAGTGGAGCACCCCTTGGTGTACTGCTTTCACCAAAGGGTTTGACACACTCCAGTGGTAGGTTACACTGTCCAACTAGGTCAGTGTATCATTTTCAGCTTCTCACTCAGAAAACTAATGTCAAAGACAATATTAAAATTCCTAAAACAATGGTTGCTGCCAAACTTTTTGAGGTTTTGAAGCTACAAAGCTAAAACCTTGAAACAGGTCAATTCTTATCTTCATCCCTTCACCTATAAGTAAGGCTGAATGGTTCAATCCATCACAGTTCCTGCTGAATTAGAATATCCCTTTGTGAAGTAAATGGAGAGACAGGTCACCTGTCCACTTGGCTATAAAATGAGATCTCATGCTTAAATTTTTTATTTAAAGCTTAAATATTTACATAAAATAAGTTGTTGCTGTTCAAGCCAGATGAAAACTGGTGCAGGAAGATCAATTGATATAATAATCCATTGACAGCATTAAAGCCAGGAAGAGTATGCCTCTAAAAAAGCAAGCTAACTTTAAGGACAACCCAGCAGCACACAAACCGGATTGGATGAGTAAGAGGAAGACTGAGAAAGAGGTGAAAGGATGTGGGGAGGAAGTACAAAATGGGTGCAAAATGAAGATCCAGGAACCACAAGTGGTGTCAAGGGAATAGATGTATTGCCAGTGGGTGATGCTGGGGTACTTTTTGAAGTGACAGGATAAACCAAATGGATATCTTTGGGCTCTGATAGGGAAGGGGATCTTCATAGCAGAATAATTCTGGTATGGTAGTTAAATAAAATTAAAAATGACAACAAATGATGGGTAGTCTGAGTTGCTCTCAAGTCTAGTTACCTTACACTAAAATGGGAAATGGTTTGTGAGAGAAAATCCACTACAATATGAAATAATTTCATATAAAAGTGCAAAATATAAAAACTGATCAGATATCTCTAAATATTAATCAAGCATGCAATGTCATACACTCACCTGTTATCATATAATGCTGCCCAGTACAATTTACTTTCAGGTCAGCTTCATTGAAATTCTTGCTGGCAGATGCATAGCCATTCCTATAAATCCAGAACAGACATTAAAGTTCTCCTCTTAATTTTGTGTTTATACCATTACATTAGTGGTGATTTCACTAAATTAATAGAAATAAATGTGTTCAATACTTCTGAGTCCTTTCTTGTGTGGCAGAAGCTTACTTAAATCAACATGCTAGCTTCTGCTGATGCCATATTATTCTACAAACATTGGCATATGATTTAGGCATGAAAAGCAAAATTTTATAATGCAACTTTCATGCTTGACCCATCATTATTTGTAAATGTTTACAAAAATTGGATTCAAAATTTATTAGCTCAGAAGCTTTCAACAGCACGCGGCGCCACACGAATTATTTGACACATAATTACCCTCTTCTTTCTAAGAGACTTTTCTTCTATGACTTTTCCCTTGAAAATGACATAGATACTGGGGGGGGGGGGTGCAGGGGGCATAGCCCCCGGTTAGAAAATTAGGTTAAGTAAATTATGAGCAAAATGTCATGGAAGAAAAGTCTTAGAATTGTCTAAATTCTAAACTATAGATTGCAACCATAAAATTCTCCAAATTTAATACTGGCTGACTTAAGCAAATTTACCAACGTAAAATTACACCATGCTGCTCCAAGAAACTTGGTTTCAATGGTACCAGATATTGAAGTAAGCTCTGTTTAATATCCCAGGGGCCCCCCGGCTAGGAAGTTGGGTAAGGTTAGGTAGGTTCCTTTGCTTAAGTCACGTTCTATTAGCTTCTGTGCATTGTCATGTAGTTTTTATTACTATAATCAACAAAGAATATACTATACAGGTGCTCCCCGACTCACGACGGGGTTAGGGACCCAAATCCAGGTCGTAAGTCCGAATGGTCGTAAGTCCGACATAGATAAAAAAAAAAAATCAATTTTTTTTAAATAAAAAATCTACAATGAAATACATTACAGTAAAAGTAATAAATAATGAGGAATGGATACAGTACAGTGAAAGAAAGAAATAATAAGGAATGGATACAGTGTGACTGAGCACTTACCTTTAATAATAATAATAATAATAATAATAATTAACGGTTTATTGAAAGAGCTTGGCAGCCAGAAGGCTGAAAATATACAGTTACATATTTGGGGAATGGGTTTCGAATTACAACTAATATACAAATAACATAATTGACACAAATAATTGTAGTCAGCCGAATGCACATAATTTTCTAATTATACATGGAGACTACATTAACTGGAAACGTTTCAGTATAGAAAATGCGTGAGTCATTGGGGGGATGGTCACAACTGCGGCGGTCGCAAGTCCCGACGGTTGTAAGTCCAAGCAGTCGTAAGTCGGGGACTACCTGTATATATTGTTTTACGGGATTAGCCAACCCAAGCACAGGTCAGTGACCCACATAAGGGCCTGGGGGCGAAAATATAATAATAATAATACAGTGGTCCCTCGGTTAACGAGCACAATTCGTTCCAGAAGGTTGCTCATTAACAGAAAAATTCGTTAACCGAAACCATTGTTTCAATGGGTTTTGGGGTAATTGGTTCCAGCTCACCGAAAATTACATACAAACGAAAAATAAATGCAGTAAAGTACACTTACTTTGAGGTGTGCATATAGAAGGCTCCTGGTTGTTGATGATGATGATGGGAATTAGAATGGGGGTGGAGGAGAAGGGAGAAGAGAAGGCATTGGGGTGGAAGCGAAGTCACCCCATGCTGCCATTTCACCCATAAAATTTTAGTTCACTTGGTGTAATTCAAGATTATTTTCTTTAAATCAACACTGCATTGCGCTATATATTATCAATTAAGGTATGTAAAATATATTTCAAAATGACCAATAATTTGACTGGAAACACAGAAAAAAAGCGTTTATGTTGAAGTCTCAAACAAGATGTTTCTTCCTCTGAACCTGTAAACAAACTGACGCCAAGCTTGGTGTGTTGAGTGGCTGTTTGGTGCGCATAAAACTAGTTTCCTGTACTTCAATTATGTTCAATAATTGTTAAAATGACTAAAAAATTTAATACGAAACTTTTAAAATGATTGAATAGTACAAACTTCTTGATATTTACTAAAATGGTAAGGAATTCAAGCCCTAGAACCGATTACTGTATTGGCGGACTAATACAACAGCTAGTGAGCAAGAGAAACATGTTGAGGGGCACTCGTAAGGAATTCGTTAATCGAGGGATTGCTCGTTGACCGAAGTGAAGAATCTTAAGGAAGGTAATTCATTAACCGAAATTTCATTAACCGAGGCGCTCGTTAACCGAGGGATCACTGTAATAATACTGTAAAAATAATAATAATAATAATATAATTAATACATATTAATACAAAATATTAAATTAAAATATATATTACTACTAATAATAATAATCAAGGACCATAAATAAATAATAAAAAAAAGATCAATGGTCAGAACTGAGGATTAACGTGTAGATTAATGCTGCCAATAATTCTAGCAAGAACACAACTGATTTTCCACCATATTTTTTTTTAATTGCTAGTGACAGTGTTCTCTTTTGAGGAAGTGTTTCTTTTTTATAATTTACACTATAATGGTAATAATGGTTGCCCCTCGTGTAACGAGGATGGCCAGCCCAAGGGCTACCTAGGCGTGAATTTGTTTAAGGTGTAGAAGCTGTCGCCAACACAACAACCACACCCTAAGTTAACGAGTTCATTGACCCAGTGTCAAGGAATAGTCCGAGAAGACCAGACAACTCGCCAACTGCACTGGCTAACCATTACCCCGGAATACGATCCGCAAGTTGATTAACATCCAGGTTCCCAACTAGCTGTACTGCTGGGTAGACAAAGGCAAATGGCATAAAGAAAACTTGCCCATAGTTTCACCCTGCCCGAGGAGGCTATAATACTGCATGCACTCCCCTCACTCAGAGAAGGGGGGCGAAGCACCCTCCGCTAGGGGGTTAGGTTAGGTTAAACAAGAAGTTAAATACTCACAACATTATATAACAACTTGGGGGGGTCGACGAGTGCAAAGTCTCCCCCCCCCCCACCCCGGCTAAGGAGTCAGGTCAGGTAACGTTAGGTTAGGTTAAATAAGGATAAGTTATATACTGACTAAATTACATATCCACTCGGAAGGGGGGGGAGGTTAAGTTAGTGCTTCTTTTGTATACATAAAAGCAGCAAAAACATTGTTTTGCCTGCATAAATTTTGCAGAAAAGCTGAAAAAACCGTAAATTTTTACTTTAGGATATGAGTCCCTAAGGGTTGACCAATACGTTTTTCCAGTGTATTTTGGTGTGGAAATTTATCGTTTTTGCCCCACCCCGACCCCCCAACAATAATGGGGGAGAGCCTGGGAAATCGTGTTTTTTGGGTGGGGAGAACACGAAAAAGAGTCATCTAACCAAACCTAAATGTTTCACTAGATTAAAACTTTGGGGTGCGCCATGTCTGAAGTACAATACCTTAGTTAGAAGTGGATAGAATGATCGTCTTTTTTGTAAAACTCGGCAATAAACTTAAAATAATCGTCAGAGCACGAATCACACCCAACCTCCACCACGGCCATTGTCAGACTGGTCATTGAAATTCAAATCCATACCCAGGCTGCTTCCTTTGAAAAAATTCAAATGTGATTGATCGAAAAAAATTCGCGTGATCATATCCTTACATCATTGGTCACGACTGGATGACGTCAGTCAATATTGTGCATGCGCGATGCATAATTAACTCGGTTTCACGTAGATAACATCTCTTCGCAGAACAAAGACTAAAACGTACATAAAATCAATTAAATTCAGTTGTGTCGCTATTTTCCAGTTGTGACTTATATAAATGGGGTTCAAAATGCTCAGAATAGGGAGATCGAAATGTTTCAGCAGTTTATAACTTTGGGGCTCGCTATTTCCTAAAGTAAAATAATACCGAAAACTAATGTCTGACTAAGATTGGAAAACATTAGTTTTTTCCCCCAGAAAAAAACTATCTCCAAGAAAAAAATCTGCAAAATTCATGCAGGAAAAAAAATTGAGGGGGGGGGGGGGCCAAAATCGCTCGCAGCACTTAAGTAAAAGTTTACCAAACTGAGAAACGACATATGTACTGTATGTTGTGTTTCAAAGTAAGAGAAACAATTGAAACTACAATTGGGTGTAAATGAGGCAGAAAGTCAGATCAGCAACCTGAGACGGTAAATTTGCAGATTACAGTAACCAAAGAATCCCTAACCTAACCTACGATTCAGTGTAGTGAATTTCCGAATTCTGTGGTTGCTGTTTACTGCAAAATTACCCCTGGGACTTGGTCACAATTTTTTTTATGCCATATGGCAGCAGGGTCTACCATTAAACAACATATTATGCTTCCAATATCTTCCCAGGCGGTAGTACCTCCCTGTTTGGTAGCTGCCTACTACCGTTAGTGCCTCCGTACCAAAATATAAATTTATGATAAAGGTGTAGATAATGGCTACCACCAGAAGTTGTTTGTTGATTTTCATTATTTTTGCTGAACTTATTGTTTTGATAATTTTAAGTATATAAAAAGAAACGACAACTTTCAATTATGATTTTAAGTGTTCTTTTTTATATTTACTCTATCCCGCTTCATAATTCTCCTCCTCATGCTATTTTTTTTTATCTCGATGAATCCCTCTTCAAGAAACTTTTCCTATAAGTCAGCGGTTCCCAACCTCAGGTCGCGACCCAAATCAGGGTCGCAGGGTGTCCTCAGTAGGGTCTTGAGGAACCTCCAGACAATTTTAAAAATATAGTACTTATCATAGTCAAACAAATTTTTTATTAACATTCAAGCTATATAATATATTATATGCCTGAGGGTCACGACACCGTATTGTTGGGAAATTTAGGGTCGCAGCCTATGATGGTGAACGCTTCCACAAATTCCTCCTCGCCATTGCTGATTTATATCAACCTCAATATTAAGGTAAGTTGTTTAACACATAAATTATCACGATAATGCACAGAACCTAATAGAACCAGACCTAACATACCCAGGTTCTATTAGGTTCTATGCATTGTCGTTTCCATTTTTGTGTTTAATATATTAATGGAGAAAATTTTTCAACCAATTCAGACAATTCCTTCTGGTGGTAGCCGTTATCTACACCTTTACCAAATTTAGAATACACCAAATACAACTAAACTCAATTAGATAATTTACATCCACAAAGTTTGATAGAGGCTTTCCTTAACATGACAATGATTACTGTAGGCCTAACAACATGAGTTAAACTTTTATTCTAAGTCTTACTTCGTATATTCCTTAAGTCCTTTGAAAAACCAGACAGTGTTCCTGTAGAGCGACATCTCCAAAAGTCTCAGATGCCACAAGTACAGTATAACAAATCGATGCGGGAGGTGTGACTCTCTCTCGCCTGGTCAGGTCCAGAGGTTGTCACCGTGATCACGCGCATACTGTAGTCAGTGTTGCCAACGCTTCACACCAAAGATTGCCGGAAACTAAGGCCCACTACCCTCCCTCAATCCCGTACGTAAAGAAATAATATGCCCTGGCCGTATTTCTAAATAATATAACCCATTTTCACATATATATATAAAATATTTACAATTATTTGTATCCATAAAAGTTTCATATTTTAAATAAATAATCACCTCCTACACTTGAGTACAGTCAAAGACTATAAGAAAACGGGAAAGCTCAGGCATAAACAACACAACTAGGTGTAAGGTTTTCTCAGCGCGTATAGCGCTCTGTCTTTCATGATTATCCCATAGGGTGACCTTACAAAACATGAGGTTAGGTCCAAAACATGTCTTGAATAAAGAACTCCCCCAACAACACAATTGGTTGCATTTATAAAGTTCCTTGCAAGGAATGTAATATGTTTTACTTAGGCCAGACAGGTAAAGATCTTGCAACTAGAATTAAACAACACAAATACAGTGTTAGGACAGGCCAGGAATCCAATGCTCTGTTTGTTCATTTGAGGGATAACAAGCATTGCATTGACTGGGATAATGCCTCCTCAATATTACCATGAAAGTCAATTGACAGTAGGAACATCATAGAATCTAGTCTTATTAAACATACCGAAGCATTCAACATGAATTTGAGTAACGGCATGTACAAGCTGGACAATTTTGTAATTAAGAAGATTTGTGATCAGGTGAGAAGGCCGGGTCACTTGACCATCTGACCTGACCACCAACCGTTGTGTGCTATTTAAAGATTAGTAGGGTCATTACCTAATACCTGACCATTGTGGACCTGGTCTCACCCTCCTCTGTATATATACACCTTGATTTGTATTACTCTCTCTAGTCTGTACTCACCCCTGAAGATGTGAATTACATGAAAGCGCTTGGGAACTTCGTGTTTTCTTCTTTCCTTGTGGTTATCAGCATATATATATATATATATATATATATATATATATATATATATATATATATATATATATATATATATATATATATATATATATATATATATATATATAAGCTTTCAATTTAGACTTGTATACAGTATGTGTACAAAATTTAAACAGATGTGATTTATTCGGCATCTGCAAAACCACTACACCTGAAAAATGTACTGTTAAATATACATTTAAAAATAATTCAGTATATTTAAAATATGAATAAACAACAAAAAATCATGGTCTAGATATAAGTTGGTGCAACTGATCATTGATCATGTAACCTTAATATAAGGACAAGTAACCATAGTTTTCCATTACTCATCAATATGCAATATGAAGTACTGTACCTAATTCATAAATGCACAGGAAAATGAAGTCAACTGTAGTTTTTATATTACATCTTAGTGATCTTACCTTCTAAATTTTGGTCAGGGTCTGCATTAAGACATAGTCTTGACTGTGCAGATGCCAAATAATTTCTTTTAGAGAAATGGTGACTGCATACATAGTGGCTTCTATTTAGCTCTTCAAATGTTTTCCCCTTCAAAGGTATGCCTTTTTCTTCTAGTATCCTCTGCCATCTACTACATCTGAAGAAATTTATCCAGAATTACTTACAGTTAATAAAATTATAATAAGGATAATACCTGCCCTTAGCATCTTCCATGGAAATTTTTTAACTTTCAACATATTATACATCGATAATAAATAGAACTAATACAATCTTAATCTTAGTCTATTTTTTTTAAATATTTACAATACAATACTTACTTTTCTTTATCTTCGGGGAATCGATGAAATACGAAATCGGGATGTGTATCCTTTCTCCGTTTGCAGATTAAGCACGGGTGTCCTTTGCTTGTCATGTTGATAGGACCATTCATTTGTATATTACGCTCGTGGGAGGATTCCGAACTGTCATATTCAATGTGTAAACTAGCAGACGACTCGCTCCACACTAGCTACATCTATCCACCGCACTACCAAATTTGTGCGTTCGTTCGTGTGTTAACCATTACATGAGAATGCCTGAGCTTTCCCGTCTTCTCATAGTCTTTGGTAGAGTATGGTAATTCTGTTTGGCCTCCAAGATATATCAGAGACTACTATTTTGGGAGGATGAGGTTAGGTTAGGATGTGTTAGGTTAGATTTAGGTTAGGATAGAATAGGTTTAGGTTAGGTTAAGTTAGCATTAAGGTAGTTAATCTTCAGGTGAAATAAGCTGGGGCGATGATTCTTCATGTGATCCGTCCAGAGGAGGACCACCTCACTTTCCAGGAGAGACCAGAAAGCATTCTACGACCTATTATAGAAAAGAAGGGCAAGCAAATGGCCTCCCCACTAGAGAGGTCACAGATACAATATTTGACCAACAGTTCAGTAGTATGGATTCAGGTTTTATTTGGATTTTGACAGTCAGTAACCCTAATACTAGCTGCTACAAATGCTACATAAAATTGATAATACTGGAGCCTCCTCTAGAGGTAATCGTGGGCACGTAACCCTTCAACGAGGCGCGAGTCAAATGAGACTAAGATTAGATAAGAAGCCGGTTAAGCCTATCTAGTCATAAATGGTGGTTGTTCTGCCTCTAATATTGAACTGAACCTCTCTTGTGGAGCTACAAAGGATTTCTTAAACTAGTATTGTGGGCTACCACCAGACAATTAGTTGTGTAAGATTTAGAAGACAAAAATGGGGAAAAATTATCTTATAGCATGAGGTAGAGTAAATGGGGGATTTAAAAAGTAGATATTCAGTAACTTGGAACACCAAGGAGGGAAGTTTTTTATTTTATGTTTGTCCTGGCTTGGGGCTCGTATAGAGCAAGGACTCGTATATCAGTTGGATTCGGTTAGATACACCCCAGCTAATTTCACCTTAAGAATCCAAAATACAGAAATGGAAAAAAGAGGTGAGAAACGATATATATATTGTGTTGTCAAAGTAAGAAAAACAATTGAGATCCTACAATTGTGTTCAAATGAGGCATTAAGTCAGATCAGCAACCTGGGACTTAGTCACAATTTTGGTGATGCCATATGGCAGTAGGGTCTACACTCTACACTGCTACAGTATCTCCCCAGGCGGCAGTACCTCCCTGTTTGATACCTGCCGACTACCTACTATGGGGGCGAATACTCATATTCAGAAACTTTATAATCTTTAAAATACCGAGGTGCGTGGTTCCAGTGAATATTTTGCCTATATTCCGAACAGATTTTGAGTCCGATATTCACCCATTCCATAATAAACTATATACCTCGAAAACCAATCAGTTTATTTCTGTATACATCACCAAATATTTTCTCGCAAATGACAACTTTCTTCCACAACTATACTCGGTTGACTTTCAGGCAATAATCAATCCTAGTGTTCCAGCTCACTCCAAGATGGATATGTATCATCAGAGTTAATCAACGCCATTGATTTAACTATGAGAAGCTAAATATGAGTCATCTTCTCTTGACAAATTGTTTAGAGGTAAATTCCGTCACTGATGTTCACCACAAAATGACAGTTGGTAAGTACTGTAATGCATCCAGCCAAGGTTATTCTTTATATTCTTTGTACTGTAACATCCTTAGTACTATTCTTTCATTCCCTCGAAGTAATATAAGTCAATATCTATATTAAGTAATTACGGATAAATGAAAAGTCGATTAATGGGTACTTTTTATTAGAGGAGCACCACAGGATAGTGAGTGCTAATGGAAGACTATAGCAGAAATACAAATACACAACGTTTGTCCTCTGCGTTGACTGCTTAAAAATTTCAAAACCACATAAATAAGAATACATAGGCAAGACTATATATGTCATACATTATGTTAGAATCATTAATTCTTCTACTCTACTTTACTATGAGCTCTGTATTATAATCTAGGTTTACATATTCCTTCAGTAGTATGGTGGAACTTCAATCTAGTACAGTAGGTCGATAATGTCTACCATCATCAATACTTGCAGCTCCTAGAGTAGAAACTTCTCCACACACATCAAGTGACTGAGGCACGTAAAATAAACATGATATATACACATAATGTAGGAAAGCTAGTGAACCGATTTAAAACAATATATATCTAACAAGAATAAACCTTAAATACTAACACAACATTTTTACAGTTAAAACATAATCCGATACATAATATAAATCTAACGTCATATTACTCTCATGAAATATAGTATCTCCTTCAAATTATTCTTATACATTAACTTATGAAAATTATTCATAATGTTTATATGGGGAATCCCTGAGAGAGGATTAGTGAGTAGAAAGATCATTGCCTTATAAGGAGCCAACTTGTCTTGGTATTAACCGATATACTTATGCTAATTCTGGTAGCTTTATGAGTATTGTGAGCAAGAATGAGTAAGTACACAAAGAATATATAAGTGGCTTATACTTAAATTTTGGGGGGAGGTGGATCTGTTTTACTGATTGATGATCTGTTGAGGATAGGGAAGGAAAAGCCAAGTACGTATGGCAAAAGGATAACAATTGACTTCACATTACATTTCAATGTTACATAGATTGAAAAATGAGTAAAAGTAGAGAAATAGTAACATTAACCATAACATTATTTTGGGGGAAACACTATTTATTGATTTAGATGGTCTGTGAACGAAGTAGCTGGCGACAGCTCGACAACAAAATCAGTGTCCTTAGTGTCAGCTTGGTGTAGGGATATATGAGTCGGATTTTACCTTCATACCGTTTGACCAGAAGAATACTGACGCCGCAATAACCCGCAACTTTGTGGTTACGTCAATCAATAAGTGAAATACTGTAATTTCCAATAATTTGTCGTGTCACACTATTTCATACTTCTGTACAGTTATGAATGATGCTCCTCGTTCATATTTACCAATAATAATAATAATAATAATAATAATAATGATAATAATAATAATAATAATAATAATATAGACGGTTTTCTTCTTAGTACAAACATTTGCTAATAGACTAAAACATTGATAATATCGGCCATTTTTTAAAACATTCGGGTTACCTATTAGTTACCCGAATATCTGCTCTCTACTTGTGGGCTATGTATGTGACTGGTTTATAGCTGGTAAATACTGCTCTTCAATATAACTTTTGGTACAATATCAACATATTGAAATATAAAAAATGTTGGTTAAATCTCTTTTATTATCATTACCTAGAAGACTGAAATAGATGTAGGATATTGCCAAATGTGTCGATTTTTTTTAAGTCTATGTAAAAATTAACATTAATAAATTATAATAAATTAAATGTTGAAAAGGACAGTGCACAGAAGAAAGATACTTAAACTAAATTCGCGCTACATTAAGACAATTTAACATAACATAAGGAGTTTGGCATATGAAGTACACTATAGATGCTTGAGACAAATCCTCGAGTGAGATTCTTATGATGTAAACACCTAAGTCTTCAGACTTTGGTACACGACAAAAACTTTATCAAAATGAGTTAATTTGATGTAATGAAAAGCATTAATCACATCTTTGGGGAAATGGGGATTTATTATATAGCCATGGGGAGAGTATAAAGGTTATAACCCATTGTATAATTCACAAAAGAGTGAAGACTCAAAATGCAGACAAACGATAGAAAACAATGCCCACAAACATCACGTGGGCCGGAATTTTTAGCGCACACTAGTATTTTGTTTTTTATGTTTTTCAATTCCAAAATATATATAATCATGCGAAATGAAATACAATCTTTAAATAACAATAAAAAAAACACTAAAAACAAGAACAATGGTGAATAATGCATCTTATAACATTTGGCAGCTTGAGTGAGGGAGCCACCGTATAGCACCACTGATGGTCTTCGTCCACCACGCGGGTAAAGATTACATTATTAAATTTTCGCCAATGTGTTGCTTATTATTTTTGTTACAGCTGCAATGACTCACACATCCCCTCCCGTGTGTGTGTGTGTATGTGTGTATGGCTTAAACCTATTTCAACTGAATGTAAAAATGTATAAAAACGGAACTGGCGACGTAAAGCTCGACATGTATTGACCTTTTGCATATGATAAAAATGTTATGAATTCGTATGAAAACCTGAAAGGAATGGAATATTTCTTTGATGATTATATTGAACACTAATGGAAAATGAGGAATGAAAGAAGAGCCACTGAATGAGAGGAAGAGGGCGAGGAGCGGAAATATAAAGTGAGAGAAAGAGAGAGAGTTAACTAAAGAATACTTAAGATAATACTGAGTAATCTTAATCCGCTCATTTAACAAGTCATAAAAAGCTCCAATATTTAGACTGAAATAATATCTTCATCTACCGTGCAATGCGAGTTGTGCTCTGAGCTGATGGTCTTCAAAGGTTAAGTTTCTTGTATGTTTTATTTTATTTTATTTTTTTACTTACATCAATTATCATAAATACTACATAAGACTTCATGCATTTGTTATAAACTCTTATGAAGTGAATTTTTCTATCATAGATAAAAAAAAATTCACTGCATTATTTCTTTCTTTTTCCTTGGAAGTGAGAATCTATTTAACACAGTGAATAGTCGACCCAGTGAAAGCGGGCTCTTCTTCGCTGCAATGACGTGCCAAATTCACCCCTTGAGTATTAGTTCCAAATGCAGAAATATCATATAATTAATCTGCTTATTATATATACATAATCTCTTGATAGATTACAAACTACTGTTATATATTTCCAGACTTCTACAGTGTTCCAGCTACCATCTGTTTACAAATTACAATCTCCACCAACCTGTATTCATTTAAGCGTCACAGTCTCTTCCTTCTTCCACTTGTACACATCGTTTCTGTCCATTACTTTTTTTATCTATAATGTCGGGTTTTTTCTTGAATACATCACATTTCCAGTGTCGCTTTTATTTACTTCTTAAATTAAAGATCTTTCAACTGTCACTTATTTTTTTCAGCTACTTTCACGTATTTTTTTCTTTCTTCTTTTACATTCACTAAATGGAATGTAACTTTAAATTCAAATTACAAATCTGCTTGCTAAATAATTTAAATTATTTTCTGCATTCTTATTACATCATCTTTCCAACACCATATGAAGCTACATTCAAATTATCTTCTCAAGTTTTCGCCATAACTTCACTCGGTTCAAAACCATCTCGAGTTACGATTGCACATATAATCTTCGTCCCAAACACCTACACCAAGACTCTGTAGTTCTCCTTCAACTTAATCTTACATCCATCCGATTTTCTAGTTATCTGAATCCCGATGAATCTACTGCTACATTATCTTCCTTTGTTATTATTGATCTCCATGTTAGCAGGACGTGTACCTCTACCTGTGGCTTCCACTCACTGTACCTATGTCTTCCCCGACCTTCTGAACCGGGGTCATCAGTCTCCCTCTACTCTTGTCTTGTGTTCTTTCCTGGTTCGTTGTCTCTCCTTTCTCGTTCTTTTTCGGTTCTTTTTGCAATCTGTAAAATAAGAGTTATGTTAATATTTTTGTTTGTGGACATTTTAGAATTGATAGTATAATTAATGATGTGTGTGTGTCACGCTTTCTTACGCCTCCCATACAGGGTGCGGTGGTCGAGTGGTCATAGCACACCCCCTATCGCAGGAATATCTGGTTCGTGTCAAGGGGATTTTCAGTTCAAAATAAGTCATATCTTATCAGTGAAAGTTCAGTTTTTGAGCTTTTCTCTCCATATATAACTCAAGTAGGCTACACACCCACCTAAATTGAATAGATAACTTATCAGGTATACCCCCACCTGAGGATACTCTACCACGTGTATCCCCCCCCCCCTCCATCACAAATGATAACAAGTTGACAATTGGATAGTAATTCTTACTTCTCCTCCTCCTCCTACGCTTTCGCTTCTTCCTCTTGTCAGTGAGGACAGCGCTGTTGCTGTTGACCTTCCTGCGGCTGCCCGTACCTGCTACCCCTCCTCCTCCTCCCTCGATGTTATTGGCGTTATCTTCGAGATCGAACTTGCCCAAGGTGGAGGTGCCGGTGACCTCTGCCACTCCTTGGAGGACCCTCTGAGTTACCAGCACCTGCCGGAGTTCGTTCTCTTCCTCACGTAGCTGGTCTTGGCGACGACGATACTTGGTCTTCTTATGCTTGTAATGATGCTTGTTGCAGTCGTCAGCCTGGGTGTGATCTGTAGGTGAAATGTAGTGCTTTAGTGGTGCCGAGAACCGGGATAATCAAAGAGGTGAAAACCAAAGGTCAGGGAGAGGAGTGTAAGTTTGGTGAATGACGACGTAAAATGTAAACAAGAGGTGAGACACAGGGTTAATGGAAGAGTTTAAAAGATTGTTCACTAGGAGAATGGGAATCGTTGAGAAGATAGGGCGTAAACTAGAATCGACAGCACTGGCGTACTTTCAAGCAACATATGGGATCACAAAGACAGAGAAAAAATACAGCAAAAACATGAAAATGCAAAAGTAAAAAAATATTGCGTAGTTAGCAGACCAGGTTAGGTTAGGTTAGGTTAGGTATCAGGTATCACATGGCCTTGTTGTTAGGGGGAACACCACAGCGGAACACGTCTTTAACAACAATAAGATTGACTGAATGACAACAAATAGAGAATCTGTGTTTGCTCTTAGTTTTCACACCATCCTACTGTCTAGAATGGATTTGAAATTATTAAAAACAAAACACAAACATACAGACATACACGTAATAGTGTCAGTGATTATTTCAAGTTGTATGTATTTAGACATTTGAAATAAGTTGGCACCTCCCCCACTCTCCCCCCTCGTGTGTGTGTGTGTGTGTGTGTGTGTGTGTGTGTGTGTGTGTTAGGAAGCAGCTAAGTTGTACAATTATGTGTTCTTTATTCGTCTCAGTGGTGGGGATGGTGCTTCTCTCACAGCCTGTAATGCTTTGAGGGGAGCCAGGTGTGTTCTTGTCTTGTTTGTGTTTTATCAATGTTTTAAATGTTTAACTGTAGGTAGTGGTCTTCAGTATCATCTATGCATGGATATCTCTTCCCTGTAATGTGTCTCAGTGTGTATGTTTCTCATCATTTTTATCTCTGAGGGTTGGCGACCATAGCCCACCATTCATTTTTTTTTTTGTGGGGGGGGGGATGTTTTGATCAGTCTTCCTAGCTTCTATAACTCTCCAGGGACCACAGGGTTTAATCTCAGTGTCTGTCTTCCTCTGACACTCCTACACCCAATTTTACCCATTAGTCACTGTACCATTATCTCCTCATCCCTAATTACATGACTTAAGTATGCGTTATATCGAAACCAGGTGGGTAGAAATTGGATGGTAGTTCAGTACAGAGAGGATCGTGGTCTTGACAATGGAGAGTTTTTGCTTCTCAGAGATGTTTATAATCAGCGTGACCATTGTGTTGTATGAGTTAATGTTTTGTGTGGTTAATGCTTTGTGTAAACAGTATTTATGTTTCCTATTCTTCTTCCTTTCTTGTTGTTGATCTCATAGTCTGTTCTTATTTGTACGTGTGTCGGTTGCTGGACCCCCCCGTCCCCTCATCGCCTCCCCCGTCCCCCTCATCATGCCCCCCCTCCCCCTCATCATGCCCCTCCCCCGTCGTCCCCCTCATCATGCCCCTCCCCCCGTCCCCCTCATCATGCCTCCCCGTCCCCTCATCATGCCCCCCCGCCCCCCCAAAAGGATGTTCAACAGTTCAACGCCGACTAAGCCTAAATGCAGCTGGTCACTCTTGCCTAATGATATAATCCATGTACAGCTGAGCGATACTCTAGTCATGCATTTTGTATTTATTTACACAGTCATCGAATTACTGGAGAATATTGAACGTATTTCTAGACCAGGAACCGGAACCTAATATTAGTAATATGTCCTCGGTTTGGATTAGATTAAGTTAGGTTAGGTTAGGTTAGATAATATTTGGGGTAGGTTAGGTTAACTTAAGAAATGTTAGAGTTAGGTTAGGTAATGGTGAGTCCCATATGATCATCAAATACTGGTCCTATGGCATCACAAATGCTGCTGGCGGTACTACAAGACTTACATTAACAATTAAAAGTAGATGTGGTGTGAGGTGAGAGTGCCAGACATAACCAAACAAACATTCCTTCATTGCATCACACAAGCCATGGTGACTGCATGACATAATTCAGCCATGTCCTTGACGGAAGTCACTGATTTATGAGAGTGTAGTTGTCATGGCGGAGTCTAGGTATATCAGCTGACCACCGACTTGTTGACATGTATTATGACTTTTGTTTATAAATCACGGATGCTCTCGCTAGCGGCAAAATATCCATGTAGAAACCCGAGGAAAAATACTTGGAAACGCAAAACCCAAACAAACAGATTGGCTATCTAGTCAGGACATAAAATTTCCCAGCTCGAGACATGATTTTTTTTTATTCTTGGCAACATCCATGACTGGGAGGGAAGGACGAACGTACAGACAGACAGAAGGACAGACAGGTTTATAAATTTATTTAACCTCATTTGATTCTATATGTGTTTGTACATGACAAGTGGCGGCAAAAAAAATGAACATTAAACATATGAACACATCCACACTCTCAAGGAGACTAATCAGGTACAGACAGAACCTTGACAACACCATCTATATATTACGAATTTCATCAATATCCACTCTACCAGTCTTCAGATATTGCGTAAACACAAACTTTTAATCGCATTTTCGCACACATGTCCTGGTGACCTTGACTTATGACCTCCTGACCTTCAAAATTAATCAGAAAAAAATAGTAAAAAACACATTCACTCAGCCGGTTTTGAGGCATCGTTTACGTCAGATCGAGGCGGACGTACGGACGGAGAGGGACAAATTAACATGCTGGAGTGAATCATGGTAACTGGGTAACATAGTAAAGGACACAAAATGGCGTAGAAACCGCACTGAAACTCGACCAGAAATTAGATGTTCCTTATATAGTATATCCACGTACAGGGAAAAAAATATTATTAACCAAAACCTCTGAGATTCTAAGTCCCGGATATTGAGAAAATCGTCTTTTAAAATGTTCTCTAATTAGGGGTGAGAGAACGTATCAAATAATGGCAGAGTTTTTGTGTAATTTCAAAGATATATTTGCAGCTATCTCTGTGTCGTATCTTAAATCAGCTAAATAGATGCGTTCTTAAATCCCCTGTTATGAGTTTAAAAATTACGGTACGCTTCTTTGATAATTAGGGTTCAGCAAGACGAACAGACAAAGTTGCCGCATTCTTAAAATCAGGCGAAGTGAGTTTGGGCTTCCCACTCTTGCTAATAATAGCCAGTGTCTGTTTTTAGCCAGATTCGCTGAGATAACAACTGCAAGCCAAAAAAAAAAAAAGATATGTTCCTACAGGTTTATATCGCGCGCTGGTCAACACTTGTCCTAAGAAGAGGTTTGTGATGCTGCCACCAGAACAGAGTATGCTACGTGCAGCGAGTAAGTGTGACTGTCGCGTGATTATACTTCATATAGGGATGTGACTACCGCAGTGTTATTATTATTATTATTATTATTATAGTTGTTGTTGGTGGTAATAATAGTACTAATAGTATAAATAGCATCAGTAGTGGTTCAAGTACTCGCCTACTAAGACCAGCAGTCGCAACAGCCCAAAACTAAACTAAACACAAAACAGAATCAGTAGTAGTAGTAGAATTCCTACACACCTCTTGGTTCTCACCTCATGATCTTCACACTTCCTGGCCCTGTCCTAACCTGACCTATCCTACCCCCCACCCCCCTATCCCCCAGTGAAAAAAAGATGTTCTCGTGAAGTTAAGGTTTGAGACACACGATGATTCATTTTCAACAATTTTGTCCTAAGATGACGTATGGGAGAGACACAATTTTAGCGGAACCTGTTCATCACATTCCATAGTATCAGGTAACTTTTTTTTTAATTTATTGGGCACCCCCCTACATCCTTGTGCAAGGTGAAGCGCAGAAGCGTTTACAGCGCCCAACAGGGAAGCATGCCAAGTTCATGCTTGCCTTATGTCTCATGAGTTAAGGGCGTAGAAGCCTGAAGAGTCGAGGGCATAGAAGCCTGAAGAGTCAATGGTTTTTATGTCTAAGCAAGTTATTGGAAGTTCCAACAACTTGTCCCTGAATACGAAATCGCAACTTTCGACTTACAGCAGGTACCTACTTTGCTGCTAGGTGAACAGGGACGAAAGGGACTAGGAAGAGTGTCCAAACAACTTCCGCCGGCCCGTGACATCTTGCTTGCGAGGCAAGAACGGTACCGCTCTACCACCAGCTCCCAAATATGACCTTACCTCACGTGACCTCCACCATAACCTAACCTAACCTCACGTGACCTCCACCATAACCTAACCTAACCTCACGTGACCTCCACCATAACACACGTCTCTCTTGGCTCTGATTCTCAAAGAACCGTATGTTAAATTATGTCCTTTAGTAATGTGAGACTATGACTACATCTAAAGCACTTTTTCCTAGCGCAGGGAGATGGAGTCTAAAACTGTTATGGTCTTAAGTACGAAGAGAAAAACAAAGGAATGGCCGGACCTCTGAGAATCTAGAGACTACAGTAGCTGGTTGTTGACTCTCGTGGAGCCCAGAAAAGATCATTGATGCCATTCTACCCCCACCAAACACACACACGCACACACACACTACACGTTTTCTCCTCATATGTCAAAACAACACAGGAATGATATGACAGCTCTTCACCATCTTGCCAAGCCCGTTAAAAACCTCCAAACATTATCACCATCCCACATAGAGAGAGTTTCGGGAACGTGTGTAACTTAAAAGTGGCACAGATATTCAAGTAAGAACCATCGAACATCTGGACTTCCCGTGACAAAATAAATGACGCGTGGAGAAAAGAAACAAAACTCCAGTGGTGAGACGGTGTTATTTAAGAAGACTGTCGGATTAGTGGCCTCTTCGATGGTTTTTTTTTTTGTGCGTGTGTTGTTTATATATAACTAAGAGCCACTAATTCAGGATCACAAGATGCGTATTTCAAGATGGCCACGTTGAGGTGTCCGTGTAATGGGAGAGCTTCGACCTTAGCTAACAGACTCACTTGCCTTAAGCCCTCACCCTCCCCCCTCTCCACCCCCCCTACAAAAAAACAGTGGTCAAGATTGCTTTACAGTTCTAGCGAGACTAAGGTAATTAACTTTCTTATCTTTAGTTTACG